AAAACCTTGAGAAAATCATGAAATCATGAAATTTTGATTGCACAATATTGCATTTAACTTAAAAGCTTTTAAATACATGGACCATATTAATTTCAATATTGCATTACCAATCATATTCTCTTTTAGCCAATAATAGGAAGTGAAACTATAATTTCACTCTTCATTCATCTTAGGTGAGTTATGTCCATTTTGTTCTCCATATGTACCTTGCACCCATATGACAATAGGCCTACTTTGAAGCATGCAAAACATATTATTTTGTTAGCACTGATCATAATTTATTCAACTGTTATACTCTTCCTATGAATTTGCTTAAGTCATATTATAAAACCTTCATTTGTTTACATCCATTACCCACTTCTGTTATCCCACCATCAATACTCTTTGATCTACATGTAAGATGTACCTATTGTTTTGTTATGAATGTACCATTTTTAATGTCTTTTTAATACTATTGTATTTTGTGCAGTACCCTTATGTTATTACTCGAAAGGCTGCCATGTACAATGTTTTTTTTTATACCACAATAAACAAAAACAAAAAACAAAAAAAATATTATATTGTTAGGCTTCTTCAAATGACAATGTTTAACCAACTTCACTCCCCATAGATGGGGTATTAGTAGTGAGACAATTTGTGAAAATGGGAGTGTATGTAGGAGAAACCACACATTCATCCATAATAGCAGACTGTCACTACACTATCTACAGGTGGTCACCTAGAGATGCCCGTCACCATTAGACAAGGTTACTATTGAGATGTCAATGCATATTTTTAATCTGCCAAAGTGCTTTGGTCCTCCTAAGCGATTCCCTGGGATGCTGCAAGGCAATTTCACCCAATTAAGAGTTTTAACAAATATCCCCACACAGCAAACGACACCTAACAGACGAGTAAATAATAATTGTGATTCTTGAGTGGCATCTTTCTTTTGTAGTAAATATTGTGCATATATTGTTTGCAATACCTGCTAATCAATAGTATTCGCTCAGAATCAAACTCTGTTTACGTAACATGCAATATAACATTTATAAATAAATCAAACCTTCCATTGTAATGATCTAGAAGATTTTTTTTTTCTTTTCTTTTCTGTTTACAATACTTGCCTATGAATAACGCTCCCTTGATGTCCTACATAAATATAGGTATACAAATACATGTCATACCTTTTATTATACTCCTCAGGAAGGTCATGTTGTTTTCTTTTGGCATGCATGTAGAGTGATGTGACCGAGTTGTGTTTCTCTCCACACGTACAGAAGAATTCTTTGCCACAGTCTCTCTGATGGCTAGTATGCTGACTAAGTGTACTGAATCGTTTATCACACTTCTGGCAAGGATACCTTTTCTCAGCATGCACAAGATAGTAGTGCTGTATGAATAAACACATCATTGAATTTGAAAGTACTTTTAAGTGTTGTCTCATTTTGGGAATTTAAGCGAAAAGTTAATAAAGCCAATAGATGCTCCTTGATCATAAGATTTCAAAATTTGCATAAGATTATCCACTCCTGTGCCAAGTTTTAATCAAATCTTTATAATATTCATCAAACCAATAAATACTTTGTCACATGAATGTATATCAATTTTTTTTATAACCTAAATGAAGTGTGACACTCATACAAAAAAATAAAAAAATAAAAAAATAATTTGACATTTACACAAACTTCTACAAAGGTTATATTCTTCAAGCGTTCATAGAAAACGGATCTCGCTACCATTAAAAAACAATATACTGCATGGGCATAACAAAATCAAGACAAATTTAAAACTAAACTCATCATCAATAAACAAATTTGTTGTTAAATCTTAAGATAATTTGTCCCTCATGACCCCCCCCCCCCCCCCCCTCCATGGCCCCCTCCCTTCCCTCAACAGGGAACTCATATCAACAAAAAGTTATGTCCTGTTGTCAAAAGATTTACCCATGTATGAGTATTTCAAATGTCCTCTGGATGTTTTAAATGGGTGTCTTCTGATGAATATGAGAATTTTCTTTGATACTAAATTTACAATCAAAGACTATATTTCAGTACCTGTTTAAGAAGACTAAGCCTAGAGAAGGGCTTCTTCCACTCTTCGCTTCTGTTACACATTTTGACAGGGCAGTAGAAGTGCTTGGTGACCTTTGTCACATTCTTCTGTTGAGACCGTGTGAACCTTTTCCTCTCATCGTCATTCTAAAATAGAAGAGGAATGAATTGAGAAATGACATCTGGTATGGTTTCAGGTCATGTAGTATTCAATGATTTCAATTCCCCTCCTTATTCTATGTTTACATAAGATACTTTATTTCAATTACTTTGTATTAGACATTTCTTTCATTCATATAAATTTCTCTTAAATATAAAAAATATAAAACCATTTTTTTTTTGTGAGCATAAGAATGATGAGCAGAATTCAGTGAGTGTTCAAGTTTCTTGTGAGTTTCATACTGCAAAAGAATCTCATTTCAGCTTGAAATTAAATTTAAGAAAGCTTTCGCCACATTAATTGCAGTAAAAAACCTGATAAAGTAATGTTGCAATTTACAGTGAGATTTATTGCCTTGAAATATCATTGAACCTTTTTAATTCAAGGAATCTTTTTCTCTTATACCTTATAAATCTTGTGTGTTTGTATGACGTGTATGCTGCGGGCTGCTGAGGTGTTGAAGATCTTGTCACATCCATCCACTGTACATGGGACATTGACTGTAGGCTCGGCTTGGAGCTCAGCCTCCGTGGGACAAACAATCAGAGGATCACTCCTCCCACTATCTTCCATCATCTCCATGGTTACACGTTTTCAGCTGCATCCATGTTCAACTCGGTGTCATCATCACTCATGAATGCATTCTGTGAAGATCAGGAAATGAGATAAAGAAATGTAATGTATAAAAACATGAACAATAATGATTATAGCAAACATATCCATCTGAAGTGGTGCTTAAAGACCCAACAAAGTATACCCACTCAGCATGAGTTTGGAAAGTTTGGTTATCCAGATAGGCAATCTCAAACAGTAATTTGAAGAAGTTTACAAGCAATATTTCATAAATCTTAAGAACAAATACCTGGCTCATCTCCGTCTGGATTTCATCAGCAAAGTCAAGGAATGCCTCGTGGATTATCCCATCTGTCTAAACCTATATGTTGTTGATGACCCACAGCAATTTACTCCTGCTACTCTGTTACCCCTGCATCCATGCTTGCCTTCCGAAATTCATAATAACCTACTTCTACTATCGCTCTTTTTCCTACACAAAATTGATGCTTCTCGTTCTAAGACTCTCCAAAGCTCCTAACCGGTCGGATTATACACATTTACTTTATTTGGACTCCAGGAATCTCCAAAACAGTGGAGGGATCAACTAAGAAGAAGAGAAGAAGAGATGATTAGTGCTATTTGATGACAAGAGAAGGCTTTCATTTTTGTTAATGTTTAGACACCCCCCCCCCTCCCCCCCCCCCCCCCCTCATGAATCAATACTATATGCTGTCCTGAGGTGCTGGCATGCAGCATCCAAAGAAGTTTTTTAGCAAATCAATTAGAATCTACCTCTCCCGAGTCCTGGGCTTGGATTAAGAATGGCAAATGCATTTATAGGAATGCCTTACTAAAATAGGATATTACAGCTGGAAACTCAAACCATTTGATCCGCATTCCATTAGTTGTCTTGACACCTATAATTATAGTGAAACTGAAAAGTCGTCCCATCAGCTCGTAGCGAGAGACTCCAGCCACCACGTTCTTCCTCCTGCTCTCCCGCAATCTCCCTGTTTATGAAAAAACCTCCCACCAAACATGTAAAATGAACAAGCATACCGGTAACGTATGCAATATGCGCACTCCCTAGGGGGTGGGTGCAGGGAGGGGCGAAGCGTGAAAGTTTTGACCATTGATTAAATTATTAGTGAAAGAAGACGATTGGTTGTACCGTTCTCGACTCTTAGTCCTTGTCTGAAATCATTTTCCGGCCCCCTCCAGGCTCCAGCGCGGTCGTTGACGTTTCCTTAAATAATTAGAGAAGGAAGACGATTTGTTGTACTGTTCTGGAAGGACTCTCAATCCTAGTCTGACTCTGAATTCAGTTTCCCTCCCCCTACAGCGCAAAGGAAGCTCTGACGTTTCATTAAATTAATAGAGAAAGACGATGATTCTTTTACCGTTCTCGACTCTTAATCCTTGTCTGAATTTTAAAAATTGTTTCTATGTCTGCTCCTTTTTCTTCCTAGGCTTAGACTAGACTAAAGTCTACGTCCTCTCACTTTTTTCTCTTCTCTCTTTTCTTTTTTTTTCTTCTCTTCTTCTCTTTCTTTTTTCTTTTCCTTCTCTTCTCTCTCTTTCTATTTTTCCTCTTCTCTTTCTTTTTTTCTTCTTCTTGGCCGGTGTTTTTTTTACCATCGCCCCCTCCCCCCTGATTAGAGCGGTACCTGAGTAGATGAGGCGGGAGGGCTAGGAGCTAGGCGTGGATCGCGGAGATTGAGTCAGCTCAGTGCAGTGGTGGCTTCATCAAACACATTTGTATTGTCCCACCTAATGAGTTTCACGTACCCGCCACAACAACAATTACAAATTAAAAAGTTAAACTGATTCAGTTTTTCTTAGAGTTAGATATACCTTCCCATTTTCAACAACTACAACTACAATAACTTGAACATAACTTTAAATGTGAAGTAAAAAGTAAATACATACCCTCAAATCCAAATGTTAATGTACTTTCAAGCTGTTTTGTTTCCTTCGACGTTGTAAATTCTATATGTTGTTGAAAGACATGATTGGTCTGCAAATTCAGACTTTTAGTCAAAAGCTCAGTACTCATGCAAATAAAAAATTATTCCGCCTTGATGAAGTGAGAAAACCATGCAGCTCTGTTTCAAAATTAGTCTTAAAAACTGTTAATTCTTTACCACCATAAAATGTTTAAATTTCTATCGGAAAACAAACTTTGTATTTTCTGTATGACTAAAATAAGTTTCTGATAATAGACTAGCAGATCCAGTGCAAACTAGCATTACCATTCATTTGTGCTCTGCATAAAATCAGCGTGAAAGAGAGTCAAATATCTGTATTGTGGGAGTGATATGTATGAAGGGTTAGCTGGCTGGCTTGATATGATCAGTAAGTACATGATATCTGCTCTTTTATGGGATTAAATAGGGAATATGATTCGTAAATTTGAGATGACCATTGTCCATTGATTGATGATTGAACAGTGTGAACAAGCGCCCATAATTTGCATTTGAATGTGTGTGTGAGAGCCTAGCTGAGTTGGCTGGCTGACTACAGCTGCACTGTCACTGTGTGTGATGGTGACTGTGACTCAATTGTTCAGTTAACTGTCAGTTCAGTTCAGTTTATTAAAAAACACATGGCATAGTAATCATGACGAACAAACATGATCCAAAGTGAGACATCAAAAAGCAATGCTTGTGAGTGGGGCCCCTGTGGAGGATGGACCTCTCAATCCCAGCGGATTGGCAAAGACTTGAAAGAGACCAACGTGTTTCAAGGATCTGCGCGATTCAAAACATGAAAGATGGTAGAGGATACGATCATAGATACGATACAGTCTCACGCGCGCAGAGCCCCCAAAACAAGCAGTATGATACCTTGTAAAACCTTGAATACCAAAGCTTAAGGAAGAAAGCTGTGATAGGTGATATTCGATCTAGACCCTATGATTTCTCATATTCTTTCTACACAAATTTGCGCTGCAACTAAATAAATATATAATAAAAACAACGAGACCTTACTTCCGGCTTTCCGCACAGAGATCTACAGCCGATTTATAAAAGATGCGATCCATAAAAAATAAGGTAATTTCATAATTTGCAAGGCAAGATATTATACGATCAGATGTTCCCACTTCTTTCTTACAATTTTGAGTACACAGTATCTGCTCCCAAACTGAAAATTTCCAAACCCTTATCGATAAGATAGTTTTTGGAACGGACGCAAATGACCGCAAAATGTGACAATCTGTTGTCAATATTTTCATAATTCCAGAGACAATTCTGTCTCTGGGTAATTTTATATTCCTCTTTCAGATTTTCGAAATCTTACCAATTTTTTTGAGATAGCAAACTTAGGTCACGCGCGAATTAGTATGGTCAAAGTCACAACACCACCATACTACTGATATAGTCCAATTTTTATTCAAGTGACTTGATCTTGAATGATTGTAATTTTATGAACATCTGATTAATAATATGGGTCCTTGCTATTTTCGTATAGCATTCTAGACTCAGGGTTTTTTTCTTAAGCTTGATTAAGAATTAAGGTAGATTAATTCAATAAGTCTGACTCTAACTTCTAAGATTGTAAGAAACTCATCATTTTTATCAGTCAAGTTAAGACTCAAAATTGAAGCTTGTATCCAATAGTGTGGCTGATTATGATTTATCTTGACAAGTTCTGATCATGCCCATGGGTGGTGAGATACGAGAGAAGGTAAAATTCGGACTCTGAGAATATCTACTTCATCAGAAGTTTCAAACTCCTCCCAATAGTTTGGTTATACTTCATGCATTATATTTGTAGAAGATATTTGGTTATTCCATTAGTACCAGTCATGGGTGTAGATCTGTAATTGATACCTATTGTTCAGGGGGGGGGGGGGATGATCTATTCATTCATCCCCCCCCCTGAACAATAGGTATTACGTAAGGATTGACGCCCATGGTACCAGTACTGTGGAGTACTGGAGTTCCAAACATAACTTGGTATCAAATGCACCATTTCTTTTCATATTTGACCTGATCTAATCTGCGGTTGGGCTATCAGCTCAATACATTGATTAGAAAAAATTAAATGTGTTGAGTAACATGCACAATGTAAAGGAGAAACAACAGCTTGGACTTAACCATTTACAAACAGATGTCAGTGATTAAAGTCGGAAAGTCCTGATCAATGTGACAATGTTTCAAAAGTCTGTGTCTTTTTGTGTAAATATCAGTCGTCTTATTTATGCTTTTTGCTCATCTTTTAACCCTAGATTAGAACACATTTTGGATATCAAGCTGGACTAATGTAATTTCAGTAAAGGAGAGATTTCTTCAAAAGACAGTTAAGCTGTGGTCACCATCTATCAACTACCATGTCGTCATCTCAGCCAGACAAGTTTGAACCATTGGTTGAGAATCTAGAGAGGTTTATTGAAATCACCCGGCAGCTGGGACTTGTCGTCAGTGACTTCCAGCCACAAGGACAAGCACCTCTAAACCAAAAGCTGTAAGTTCTAGTTCTTGAGTTTCAGAAAAAAAAGTATTGACGGCTAATGTTCTCGTAGATTAAACCTACATGTTTCCTTGCGTTGTAATGGAATTTCATTCTTACCAGATTAATTTTGTATTGCTAAAAAAGAAACCTTCCAATAATTCACCCCATACCCCCCCCCCCCCCCCCCAAAAAAAAAAGAAGGGTGTGGGACTTGGAGGATATGTCCTAGTTAAGTGGACTATATAAGTAAACAGTTGAAAACATTTATATACTAGGAATAGTAAGAAATGATATCGACTAATCTGAAGCTTTAAGTCTTAAAAAGAAAAAAAAGAGTGCTTTGAGGTGCTGTAGAGAGCAATATTGTCAGTTAGGAGCTTTCTGTCATTCAGCTATTATTTATGTGGTGAAACTTTTCAATATAAAAGCCTGCTTCTACTTCTTCAACATTTCTCTTGTATCCCTTTGTTTTTTAGACACATGCTGGTGAGCAGTCTTCAAGAACTAGACAAAAACAAGGAGCAAGTCCAAGATGTACAGGTTCCATTAGAGCTCATCTATGAGTAAGTACCTGAATTCAAATATCATCTGTGTTTGAAGGGGCATGCCACTTTGGTCATTTAGATGGGCACAAGGGCCAAGATTGATTGCAAACATGGCCTCAACCTTGGTTAGTTTGAGAGGGGAACTGTGGCCAAGGAGTAAGGCATGATGGCAAAATTCTTTCTTCCCTGATCCTGCTATGCAAGGTTTGACAGAATTTCTGCAGTTTAGAAAGAATTGCTTCTGTTAGCATAGTGTAGGGATATATATGTAGCTTTATATGTTACACATCTAATAATAAGATAGGATTTAGCTATTTCATTTTATAACCTCCAAATTTCTTTTAAAACGTTTTTTAAAAGCCATATTGTTAAAATTATTGTCAAAATAATTTTTGTGTATCATCATCATTATGAAGAAATCTTTTGATTAAGAATATTTACTTATTTTATCAATGTTATAATTATCATTTCCATGGTTTTAAAAAGTTTTCCGGGCAAAAAGAAGAAGAAGAATTTTGTTAAGTCCAGTACTTGTGTGGAATAGTATATTGTCTGTTTGGGGCCAGTATGGCGTTATATCATTTACTCAGAGTTCACATTTAACATGTCTCAGTTGATGGACATTTAAATATTGTATTTATTTTACTTCATTTTAAGCCCATAGCCAATTTCATTTCTATTTAAACACCACAATAGTAATGACTTTATATATTGTTTACATTTTCAAACATTCAGAAAGTAAAGCAGTTGTGGATTTGTCGTTAAAAAAAGACTTCTTTTTATTTATAGATATGTTGACCAAGGCAAGAATCCTCAGCTGTACACAAAGGACTGCATGGAGAGAGCTGTAGCTAAGAATGAACTGGTTAAAGGAAAGATAGAAACATTCAGGGTGAGTGCAGTCCAGATCAACCTACCAGATGGTAGACTCGGAAAAGGGTACCTTTGTAGTTTGTTGTGTAAACTCTGCCTAAAACAGATGTTGGCACTCGACCTTCAGTTAATAAGTGTACCCAATTTATTGAGGTTTAACTTCGGCTTAGGCCACTGTCAATGACCTGCCCTACCCTAGGAAGATTCCTAACGTAGAACAGTATACATGTACATCTGTGATTTATCATTAAACATCATTACCCTGGTCATAGCTAGCAGCCTAATGTGTTTATGTTTTTATCAATCGAGGGTAACTGTGACCCCGACTATTCAAAATGGAGTCTTGCAGCAAATTTCGTGAAAAATTGAAGGAAAAAACAGCAATTTTTTACAAAAATCCCAAGAGGTTAGCTCCACATTTTCTGCCAGAACTTGAAAAAAAATTAAGAAGGGCCTATTTTCATGTTCTTTTACTAATCCAAGATAATTGTGGCTCTGTTCTATTTGAAGCAAGATTTTAATACAAATTTCGTGATAGTTGGAAAACCAGCCATTTTTAAATAAAATCGCAAGGCGTTAGCATCATCATTTGGCAGATTTTTTTTTGTTTTTTGGAGAAGCCTATTTTGTTGTTTTCCCATCAATCCAAGATAACCGTGATCCCAGCCTTCCCAAGGATGGGTACGTACTAGAGCAAGTGGTGAAAGCAAGCTTTTCTTACATACTTTTAAACCAACATTTGCAATGTTTTATTTTATTTCTGCAGAGATTCAAGAAGGCTCTTGTCACAGAGCTGGGTAAAATGTTTCCAGAAGAGATTGACCGTTACAAGACCGTCAGAGGTAGCGACACATGAACGGAGCAGTTCAGCAAGAATTCTATTGACTTGTGAAAGGACAGTGAACCATGCCGTGTTAAAGAACAGTGAAGTTTTTCCATTGCCCGTTCAGGATTACCAAAGGAGATGGTGAGAACCGTTTCCCACGATGAATACATGAATGGAGGCAATGTTATAGATGCAATGGATAACATGATGGGATACTGAGCTTACACTGTAAGGAGTAGGGAAATGATGTGTTGTACACACAATGGAATTGTTGATGGAACTTCTCTTCAGATAGATGCCATTAACGATGTGTGGGAATGCATGTTTAATGGAAGAGTCGGTTGCCAACTTCATACTCGGGTTTGAAATCGGACTGGAAATGATTTGTGCCGAGAGTATAATAAATGAGATCTGTGCGAGTCCTTCATTGAAGAATTCCTGCGAATGTTTGCCCAAAGCACATATAGATGAAGATGTTGCCTTTATTCACCAACAGAAGTGAACTCATGAGATATAACAAGTCCATTTTATTTCTTTTACTTGGACCAATTACAATGTAGAATCGACTTTAATTCAATATACAATTTTGTATCAGTTCTTGCCCATATTAGCTTTAGTCCAGTCCTCTTTCACTATCTCTCTTTCTCTTCCTTCACTATCTCTCTCTTTCCCTCTTTTACTTTTTCTCTTGATATGCAGATGAAACCAACTGTGATCACATGACCCCCAAATTTACCATATTTTAATAAATATAGTCACAAAGTGTAATTTGCATGTGCAAGTCCAAACGTTTGAATAATTTGGTGTCCTATATGTGGATTTTGGGGTCCCAGGCGCCTGTTAAGTTCTGCCAAAAGTATCGTTTTACTTGACATTTTTGTCTCATCCAAGCTCTTAAAGACATTGAAAATTGGCAAAATTATCAGATTCAATAAAATCTAAGACGTAGGTAATTTATTGGACATATGGCTTGAACTGTTAATGCTGGAAGTAGAGGGATTGTCTGAAGGTACAGACAAGGCAACAAGATAACTAGAATATGGAAGAAAAAAAGTACATTTTAATATGAGGTTCCTTTTTTTTGGGGGGGGGGGGGGAGGGGGGGGGGGGGGGGACAAGACCCAATCTAAAGGATTGTTCAGATATGGCACGGTAATTCGCCACGTTATTTTAGGTGTAAATGGATGGCAACAAAGGAATTGTGCATATTCATTGAACTCTGTGTTATATGATCGAGAAATGTGAAGCGTAATACACTTTATGTCGTAAAAGAAACATCATGGTTTTGCTGCGTCATATCTGGGGGGTGTTTCACAAAGATCCTAAGTTGAACTTATCTCAAGGTTGGACTTAACATTTATGGAAAGCCGTTAGCACCTTTGAAAATATTTTTATAAAATTATTTTAAAAGGCATAAAATGTTGATTCAAATCATTCATATTTTAAATTATCATCTGAGATTTCATGTTCCTGTTGTAGAATTTATAAAAAGTCTAAAATACTCCTAATTTTTTTTTTGAATTTAATTTATTTTAAGGCTACAAATGGCTTTCCATAATTTTTAAGTCCCACTTAGAGTTAAGTTCAACTTAGAATCTTTGTGAAACACCCCCGTGAACGAGCCTTGACTAGATAAATCTCCTCAGGAATGTGAAGGTGTTAATAGACAATGATATAAAAGGAAAGCTTGCATGAAAATCACTGATGTTTTATATGCTTGTATATTTCATAAAGATAATAAACATGATCGAACTGTAAAAGCAAAAATGGTTTGTTAATCTGTGTACACATTAAACACTACCGTACTTGTTTAAATGTAACATACATGAAGCCCTCAAACTTCCGTCAGCTCAGGGGAGCTTTTTCAATACCCCGGTACACGCTATAAACCACCCTGGGATTTTAATCTTTTACAGATCTAGAAAGAAAAAAAATTCATAACCACAAGTCAAGGTTACCTTTAAAGGTCTTCAAAGGTTCTGTCTGACTATCTACATCCCTATCTAAATGCTATTACCATTTTAAGTGTTCAGAGAAGTTATGTTAGTGTTGGTCAAAGTAATGTTGAAATTGTGTATTTTGTGATTCATATTTACTGGTACAAAACACAAGCAAATCCACAGTAATTATTTCTTCCTTTTAAAATCCTTCATCAGAGTTTCCTTCAATCTTTTAACCCAAATTTTGAATTTGTCAATCTAGACAAACACGTATTCTACTCTTTAATTTAATATTTTTCCAATGATAATCCAAAAAAAAATATCAATTGAAATGTGACCATGTATTACAAATACTTTTATTGCTTTCAAAACTCTTGAAAAACCAACAGGAAAGATCATTTTAATCATATTCAAGACTTTGACCAGTACTCAACACTGTAATACCTTTAAGTTTAAGACACATTTGTATAACAAAAAAAGTATCCCATACATAGATGGCTATTACTGTTTCATCAAGTTTAATATCATATCTGGAAATAAACCTTGAAGGCAACTACTCCATGGAAAATATGGTAATATGGTCTTCTGACAACAAAAGTATTGATCGAAAAGTATGGTAGTAGTTGCAAAATCATAATATTTTATGACCAATTCGAACATCTATTCTTATATTTGTAGCCATCTAAAACGTTTTCCCCTTTTTAGAAGAACTATGTTCAGTGTGATGAAGGCACAATTACTAAAAATAGACTACCGTTACAAGAAACATGGAGTTTGAACTGAGATGATGAGAATTACATCCTTAATTAGATATTATTTGAACAGTCATGAACATCTTCATCACAAACTTCTAATACAGAACACATTGTATTGCATTCGTTTTCTTTAACTGTCAAAATGGAGAGGGAGATGGGAAGTGTTCTTTCACTTAAAAGTTCATGATCTCATTCCCAAAATCCAGTGTGAAGTACAGGAATGGACATGGTCCACGGGACTCGACAGTCCTGGAACATAAGATGTCCTGTGTCATGACTGCCAGGTTCTCCAGTGACTGTAATGATGACAAGCCACAATATCATACATATTTCCTTGTGAGAAAAAGATAAAAATCTTCATAGTATAATCATCTTGTGTCTTGGAAGTGGTGTGGATGCATTACAAGAATACATTACTGCCGAGGCCTGGAGAACCTGCCCACCAACTGTCGAACAGATCTTAAATTTCAGAGTTTTTCATGACCCTTGCAGCTTTAGGCAGCGGTGGATCAGTACTCTATACATTTGCTCTTGACACAAGAGTTCAAAGTTCAAAGTTCAAATAATGAGCTTTCATCATGTGAGGAATCCCTTGCTAGACATGTCACTTCCTTTCTTTGAGAGGAAATCATCCAGGCTTTTGTTCAGGTCCTTCCCTATCTGCTTGGCTGACTGTCAAGGAAATATGGAAGACATTGTAGGTAAATGGTTAAAGATATGAAAGGAAATATTGTACATATTGTACATGAATATTCACTGCTAGTTGATATATAAATATATACAAAATGAGGTGTCGATAAACATAATTTTTGCTCTTTTGCAAAATGATAATTTAGTGTCTTGCCATTCCAATCACATTCGATAGCAAAAAGAAATAAATGCTTACAATCATGACTGTACAATGTAAATGAGGGTATACTGTTTCTCGTAAAGTTCAGACAAAAGAATGTGAAGATCGTCAAGAGTTCTGTACACATGAGAAATTATATAAACATTTTTCTTCTAAAATCTCTGCGATGACTACTAAGTGTCAGTAGTCCTTGACACAAGAGTTCAAAGTTCAAAGTTCAAATATTTTTCTTTTAAAATCGCTGCAATGACTAATATCAGTAGTCCTTTCACCTGTTGAATACTAAGCCCAAAATAAACAGAGTGGTGATATACGGAAATCAAATTACATCCGACAGGTTAAAAAGCCTAAAAGCTTATCTGTACTAGTTTATAGGAGGGGATTAGACCACCCTGCAAGGTCACTGGACAGGTGGTTATTTCATCAACTCAGCTCTCGATTAATATAAAAAAAGAGGATCATGGGGGACCATCGGGTACCACTAAGGCATTGTTTTTTATATAGAGGGAGCAAGTAGCTACAAGTTGTACAGTGGGGCTTTAGTAACAATCAAATGAAAAGGGAAACTTACAGTGAGCATCTTATAGATACTGTCTATTGTCAGACTTCCAGAACCTTTCTTCACCATGCCATCAATAGCGCCCTCTTTGTTGACAGCTGCAACTATGCAAGCCATGCTGCATGCTTCTTCTTCCAGCGTCGCATCCACGATGTGACCGGAGCCAACCTGCAGATTTAAAAAAAATGTAATCGTCTTCATTTTCGACTATTCTCAACTTAAAAATTCTAATGAGTTAGGTCTGTAGAGGACTAAGTGAACTCAGAAGACTGATATGATAATGACAAGCACTTTTCAGCCCTAGCATAACATCCAACTCTTTATAAGATTGACTGCCAAGTAATTGGCAAAGGAGAATGTGAAATTAAAATATGAAATCATTTCTATAAATAGGCATCATCTAGTTGATTGATCTCCATGAAATCAAATGAAAAAAATATCTCTATAATGTTCTAGATTGTCCTTTGAAGTGATTATTTGCTACTTGTGTCATGTGTTTAGTCAATTTTTTTTTAATTAAAGGAATAGTTGAGTTCTTGTTTCAGACCGCAAATGCCTTCAAAGTGCATGGTTATTGTTCTTATTCTTATTTATGACATTTCTAGTGCCTTTTTAGAACCTAAAATTGCTATGAAGGCAATTTTAAACCCCAAAATGTGTGAAATTTAGCAAATACGATCATACCAATTCAGCTCCACTTTCAAAAATATATGGTGACCGTTAATTAATTAATTAATTAATAATAACAATACATGGGCCAGCTGGTTGTCCTTATTATAACCAACACGAAAAAGCCAACATCGGCATTGGCTGGAATAAGGGCGCTATTTCGTTTTTTCAAATTTGACACTCAGTTTTTTCATTATCTCACAAAAAAATTATTTGTGTAGCGCCCTCTGCAACAGAACTCGACTATTCCTTTAACTTTAAAGGGTTTAGTATAGAATGTTTGTATACACTCTCAGCGGTCTATTCTGGCCTACTTACCGTAGTGACTGTAACAAGTACAGGCAGATTCTTGGTATCCAAAGTGACAAAGTCGTGTGGGTTACTGGATACATCAATGTCTTCCGTACCATCCATGTCTTTATGTACTGTCACCAAAGGTATCCTAACATTCAGAGGAAAGAGGTTAAAAAATAACTTGTTTTGAAGATTAAAATAATGCCGCCGACACCATCTTCGGTGAGACATTAAAAAAAGGCTTCATATTGAAAATAGTGTAATTGTTCTAGCATTTAGCTTAAATCGCATGGGAAGAAAAAAAAAGTATAAATTCACAGCATATAAAAAAAAAGAAGAGCAGGACATAAGATATCATGGCTGGCCAATTATTAAAATGTCATCAACTGAGGTACTTTTTGAGCAGCATTGTCCTAATTTTTTTACTCAAAATGAGGTTAAAGTCTTAGTTTTAAGGAAACCGATGCACTAACTAGTTTTTAGAAAATGAATAACTACAGTATTGTTGTAGTTTTAGACGGATAAAATGGAAACAATACCATTTTTTGCCTCTTAATGGAGACCACAATTTTCAAACAAATTCACAACTTGAAATACCTAGAGGCCACAAGTCTACCTTCGTGAAGCCCTTCTTACTGATCTGAATACCCTTCTCATGTCAACTCTATCTGTACTCTATTTCAGATGGCATATAATGACCTCTATGCCCTTTTGATTGACCAAACTGGCCTGCACCTGTAACTGAAGCATTTCAGGCAAGACAGGCATGCAGCACTCTTCTTGATCTTAGAGAGCATATACCTTGTATTATAGAGGGCTGCTTTGACTGCCAGAGCGATAGCATCCAAGAGGTTTCCTCCACATTCCAGCACAACAATGTCAGCATAGAGAGTCCAAACACACTGACCTGCTATTACACACAGGGATTTATAGTCCAGCATCTGTGAAAGATAAAAAGAAAAATGATGAATTCATCAGAATTGGTTAGACTTGAACTGCGCACATTGCCACCGCCTCTCTGTGCAGAGAAACAATAAAAAATAAAAGGGGGTATGGTATGTAGTGTCAGCAAAGAGAGTCCACATTAACTAACACTCAATTTGTAGTCTAGCAACTTTAACTCATAGGAGATTTGTGGCTGGCACAATAGGGAGTAGCACTGTGGCACTGGGTGCATTGTATGGGTGGCAGCTTAAGAGTTAATAGTAATAAGTAGTAAGCTCAGTACCAAAAATCTTTTCACCTGCGACTCCTATTCACAATTTATCTGCAACCTTCAATAGACAAACATTTTATTACTCTTCAGAAATCAAATCAAGAAATTGTTGTCCTACCTTTTTATTTTTGTAGACGAGCCCAAGCATGTTGGATATCTCGGCTGCCAGCTCATCTCCGCCCCGCCCTGCGAACTTTGGAGATGCATTAGCTGAGAAGTCTACAAAGAATTCTATCCCACCTCGGGATGGATTCAATGGATTAGGCGGTCCCATTTCAGCCTTCACTCCAACTAAGACCTTTACAAAGATGAAGGAGAAAAAAACAAGCAAAAACTTCAGAAAAGATTACATAATTATGTAGAGGAGGATGAGGAAACAGAGAAATATAAGAGAATAAGTTAGACAGAGATATATAGAGAGATACGGATGAGAGAGATTTAATGCTGATAATTTCTATTGTGTATAATGTGCAACTTGCACCAGATTGCAGAGTTGAACTCTGCCTGTATAATTTACATTTGCATTGTAGCTGTTTTGAATATGCAAATGAACAACTGAAGATTTGATTTTAAGAGCTCTTATCAAGATATGTTGTTAAGCATCTGCCCAATCCATTTCCATTGACCCTCATGATAAAATTTATTGTACCAGGCACATTATTTACATTCCGAAATAATAATAAAAATGATAAATATAGTTGCAATATATATATATATATATATATATATAGCACTTATATAGTGCCATCAGAGTCAGTGTTAGAGTTAAAATACAAGTTACCAAGCAGTGACGGAGTGAGTTGAAAGAGTGCATGTGGCTTTAGAATAAAAATGTCTTCAAACTAGTGCTGTAGTCAAACATTTAACCGTCCAGTATCCGACCACCATGGCAATATCCATTTTCAATTGGACGATTTTGTTTTTCATTTTATTTTTAATTAAAAAAAAAAGAAAGAAAACCGTCCGGTTTAGACTGGTGGTTAAACAGAATTGGAGATATCCGTGATGTTACAACACAACTTCAAACTCAAACATTTGAATAATGATACCATTAGCAGAAATATATTATATTTAATCACTTCACAATGTTCTAACAGTCAATTTTCAAAGAAATATGATTCAACATACTTGTGTGTTTGATAGCTTCAATCTTGCAGAGCCACTTGTGTTGGACACTACTCCACATTCCAATTCAAAGTTTCGATATGACAGACATGTTCTTCCATCTGAGCGCAAGTCATCCTAAATAGAGAGAGACGAAACAAAAAGTGAAGTTTCAATAAGAGCCCTTTTCAAGCCCCCTTTCCTTCTTCTTTTCCAGAGACAACTGCTTGGTTCCCTCTTTCTGATATCGATTGCTGACACCCTACCAGTGACGTCATCTAAAGCAGTTGTGCAATATCCAACACGTGGACATCCTATCTCGCAATGGCAGATAGCCTGCCGCTGACCTGTGTTCATAACCGATCGCGTTCGACAGCAACGATAAACAACAAAATTAGAAAATGGTGAAACATAGCTAAATAAGGTTGGCACAATTGCTGAAAGTATGCTGTAATATCTGCAAAACAAAGGAAATTTTCATCAACGAAACTTGTAAGTTCCATTATTTTGGTCCATTTAATTGTTTGTTAAACCATTGGAATGTATCATGATACAGCAGGTTTTACAAAATGTTGCATGAACGTACTGCAGTATGTGCTATGTGTGTGATTGCCCAGTGTGAAAGTGCATCTGTCTACCGTATTTGCCGGCGATAAGGCCGCAGCGCTGTATAGGCCGCACCCCCGATTTTGACATTTTATGTTGCGTACAAATGTTGATGTGACTAAAATCACCACCTTAAACCGCACGGCCATCCCGCGCTGATACCAACACTGCTGTTTTCTGTGATGTAGTCATTGAAATGGATTGAAAATGGCGACTTCAGACTTACTTACTTTTGCAATGCATTGGCACGAACTTAGATCAAAATCTATCGGCAGATGTTGTTTTTGGAAGTTTATTTTCGTCTTCATGTCAACAATGCAAGATAAAATTGTTGGTAAGATGTGTGGAAATGTATAGTTATTGTACCGTTCGTAGATCTAGTCCCATATGTACAAATTCGTGCTGGTTTTGACTTTTTTTTTTTTTTTTTTTCTTTTCGCCGCAAAGGCCACACCCCGACTTTTTGATATTTTCTCTTCCAAAAATACTGCGGCCTTTACGCCGGCAAATATGGTAATTAAATTACCGCCGAAAATTATTTGTCAAAAAGACAAAATCAAAATTCAAATGACCCTGGCTATTAAATGCCTGGGCTTGGCCCTGCTCATCACTCCAGCAAAGCATAGAGAGTCAAATGCGTATTGACCTCTATCACTGTACTACATGCTGAGACGCAGTAATTGCACACAATACACACATTGCACACTAATGCACACAATTGCACAATGAATACGAAGTGGCTGATCGGCAAGTTTGACAGTAGACTCACGATTTGAATTTTCAAATTATTCTTTCTTAGTCATCGGTAAGTTGAAAAAATTGTATCTTACTGCTAGACCTATATTCGCCAAATATTGAGAATCAATAGAACAGCTTTTAATACACAGCCAGAATAGTAATGCAGCTATGAGTATGTGTGCACTTTGTCTATAGACCTTATCGAATGTAACCAACCACAATTACAAACAAGAAAATAAGCGTGTGGGGCTTAACACATTTTTCTCCATACAATTTACAATATTGCCTGTTGCCAAAGATCAAAGACCCTACAAGAACAAAGAAATTACAGTAAATAAGTATAACTCACCTTGCAGATTCCATGTATTATAAACGTTTTTTCACCTTCACCTAGTTGTATCGAAGCCATTTTAGGACAATTAGACTTGCGAGGTAAAGTCTGCAGAATGCACACGTGCAGTATCGAGTTGCTGTGTGTTTTGAGTTATGCAACACCACAGACCAAGTCAGCCAAGTCAGTCGTTGAGGGGGGGGGGGGGGGGGGGGGGGGGGGGGGGCCGGGGGGGGGGGGGGGGGGGGGGGGGGGGGGGCCCGGGGGCAGATATGCGCCTCGATTAACGCGGGCAGAAGAAAAAAAATCCAAACCACATCTCCCTGCCTTTATTATTGAAAGGAGGTTGGCTGTCAATTATTGATAGGCAAGGGTGACAAACAATTTATGCAATTTTTTTATGGTGATCGATCGCCAAATTAGGATTACGGTTCGAGGACAAATTGCCCCCTGCACGTTCACCCCCCCCCCCCCCCCGGAAAACTACCATCCAAGGACAATTACCCCCCGGAAAATTACCTTCCCCCCCCCCCCCCCCCCCCCGGGAAATTATCCCTTGGATAGTTATCCCCAGAGGAAATTGCCCCCTGAGAACAAATATACCCCCCCCCCCCCTCCTGAGGACATTTTTACCCCTCGGAGAATTATTTCCGAGGACTATCCCCTGAGGACAATTACGCCCCGAGGACAACTACCCCATGGACAATCACGATTCAATAGCAAAAGACGATCTGACACATCACCATGCATGTGAACCCAAATTCGTTCCAATACTATATAGCACGTTATCATATATTACTATACACATTTCTGTTTTATTGCTATAATTTCTTAAACTGTTGATGCTCAGTGGTGTAGGCTTAATAGGTCAGTATGGATGGTCACTTAAATATGTGATGTTTGAATAAAACAATTGGGACTTGTGTATTAATTCAGTCTTTGCAGATCAAAAAAACACCCCAAACAAAATTAATCATGCCACAAATATTTCGCCTCCCCCCCCCCCCCCCCTCTCTCTCTCTCTCTCTCCTTTTCTCTCTCGTATGTCCTCCTCACAATGCATATCCTTGACTCTTAATAAAACAAACTGTACTTCAAGAACTCCCAATCTCCCTCCAAACAAACAAAAACAAAAAAATCTAGAACTGCTAGCTCCTTGGCATAAAGTACTAATATAAAACAAGAAAATGGTACAAACAAGTGCAATGTTTCATGGCAGTCAATTCATGTTAAGATTTATTTCTCTTCTAAAAATATGATTAAATAAATTTTCAAATAGACTTAACTAGGACATTAATTGTGCATTGTACTGTGTTATTTTTCCCCATTTATTTTGTATATTGATTTTGTTTAACTGAAACAATTCATGAAGAGGCATAATTTACCCCCCTCAATGACAGGCATGGTTATCCTCAACTTGAATATTTGCAATTCATTATAAACCTTTACATTGATAAAACCCAACTTAAACCATTCAAATAATATTTTCTGCCACAAATAGAAGAGTCCATGATTAGTCTATTAAAAATTTGTCAGAAAAAGAACGCAGCCAAATTACCAATTAAAGGCTTACAAGATTCAACACAAAACTCCTCTTGCCATATTAAAAGATACTGAACTAGGAATATGTGTGCTAAAATATAAACATAAAGGCAGACTTATTTCGTATCTTGAAAAATTATGTATATCATATATCTTAAAAGATTAGATAAGTTAATGGTCATGCAATCCGAAAGTAGTGTTAAATTTGGGGATATATATCCTGTATTAAATGCATTTAAAATAATTGGTATTATATTTCTACAGAGACTTAATCAGGTCACATGTATCCATAATGTAATACTGTTTACATACTAAGAGTAGTTTCTGTTTCAGGCAACTTAGTATCATGAAATGACTAAAAACACATTTTTTATAAAATAAGTACAATAACTCAACTTTTCCACCCTTCTAAGAAATCTGAATATATTAGTTTCTATTTACAAGATAAGATTTCTTCCAACAACTATATGCATATTATAATTATTCTGAAAAAAATAAGAGCATATTGTTCAAAAATACAACATATACTCCATTTTCCTTACTTTGGATATACATGATTACTGAAATGAAATTGTGATGAAAACTTTACCAAGCATGACAACCATATAAAGCCATACAAATAAATAAATTACACATTGACTAGTTACATCAAAGCCTACAAAACATAAACATAACAGAAATGACTTCTTTTACTAAATCAAACAATTTTGTGACATCTGTATTACATTATTATTGTTTTAGATCCATAGTGAAACTTTTCTTTCCCCAGATGTGCAACTATGAATTCTTTGTAAACTAAAGGTGAACAGTCAGAGCCCTTTTTTACCTTAATTACTCCCAAATGTAATGTTAATGTCATAACAACTGAGAAAGTATCACTCTGAAAAAAAAAGCTTGAAATGTTCACATAACATATATATATATTTACCCTTGAAAATATTCCAATGATGATTCTCAATTCATATGTTATTTTACCAAACTGTAATATAGTAGATTAGTTATAAAAGCAAGTGATTAAAACATTTACGAAATGACCCCTACTACGGTACCTAAAACTCTTGAAACTGAAACTCTGAAAGATATTCAAAAATATTTTGAAGCCTTTAAATTTGACTATAAATAACTAGAGAATCAATTAATCAATTAACTTACAGATCATCACAAATTATATCTACATGCTTGACTGTTTACATCACATAAAACAGCATTTGACAATAAAAAACAGCGTTGCAGTCATACAACATTTACAAGGCACTACTGCTACAAATATACTGGTATGATAGTGATATGCACAAGCGGCGACAGCCTTGTTAACCAAAGGTCATGTGACCAATAATGCCTCCGACACCATCTTCGGTGGCGGAGGCATACAAGTCAATGAGACCAAACAAAAAATGTGATCACATCTGATCACCTTCTACTCTCTCAGGCATTGTATGAGATCAAAGAATCTGGAGACCGAAACATAGTGAAAAACAACAGTGAATTTGGGTCTTGTGAACCTTGATTTTTTTTTTTTTACTTTTTTTTTTTGGGGGGGGGGGGGCCTCTGGTTAACTGGGATGTCCCCGGCACAAGCAGCACAATGTGGTTAACGTTATTCAAAGTTGTGCAAACATATACTATTTGATGACAATGTGTAAGGATGGTGGCCGGTTTCTAAGGTTTCTAATGCTTTTACAGACCACACTCATCGGTCAGTGTAGCACACATACGTAAATAAAGATAGGACATTTTCAAACCTGTATCTCACTCCCTGAAAACATATTTCAATATAAATCAAACTCAAGCATTTATATCGCCAACTTCATACAAATATTTTTGATATTGTGATGTTGAAAATGCAGAAAATGACTAATTTGATTACTACTTGAAGTCAGAAAAAACATGTCAAGTAACGAACATTTTCTAAACTGAGACTTACTTGTAAGTTAGTTTTACACACACAAGGTCTGTGTGATATAGCAATAAAAATAATCACCAGTACATTCATATTAATAAAACAAACTCAAAGTAAACACTGTCATGGATCAAAATTAAAACTGATTAAAACATTCAAACTTAAACTCCTCTTACAATACGATTCTGTAATGATTAATATTAATTCAATCATTCCAACTACCGGTAAGTACAAAATGTCTCGATCATACTACATAATCATTTTTGAAACGCAATCCAATCTGTTGAAATATAAATAAACATGCATGTTATCTCCCCCTTCAATTAAACAAAAATACATGTATCTTGTATCTATCCCATCTTCATTTTTGTTTTGTCATTCGTATTATCGCTCTCAGATCATTTCTTTGGTATTTTACACATACATCGATTGGCACAACGTTTGCTACATATATATTTCATTCAGTCTGGAAGTAGGCTACTAGTGCAAAGACAAAGTGTAAGTACTGATAGCTAAATCTATGAGGTCCATGCAAACATCAACAAAGGATACACACACTGAATACATCAGCCTGTTTCAGAAAATATGCCATGTCTGAAAAAATAGAAACAAACAGTTCATGCTCAAACTTTTCCTCTTCTTTGTGCATTGGCTGATAATAAGGCCCTTTTACTTGATTGGTGAATACAACAATGATGAAGGGAATAAATCAAACTCTTCAAATTGAAATATATTCCCGATTCAGCCAATATAATAATAATAAAAGTGAGCAAATGATGCTTGATTATATTTGAAAAGCATGTTCGATCATTCCTGAAACAGGCTTTATTTACACAAGTACATAGGCTCGATAATATTAATCACATAGACTCTAATTTTGAAGCATATAATATCTACTGTACATTTAAAAGCACACACTTTTCATTTAAATAGAAAATTGCCAACGATTTACCCAATCATGATTCTCTAAAAAATTCTGAAATGGACGATCTTTTTATACACAGAATAGACAACATCAATAATGCAAGCTTGTGAATAACTGATAGAATGAGGTGATAAGGGTTAACAGTATTAATAGTAAGTTGTTCTTGCTATTGTTCATATACATTAATTTTGCCAAAGTTCTATAAGACAGAAAATAATATTGATAGCATAAGTGCATGATTTTTATAAAAAATATGCGTTTTCAATAAGTTAAAATCAAATTCATCACTAGCACACCATTATCAATATACAGACGCAATAACATTTGTTCGATGACACAAAAAGAATGATTTTTTTCTAAACAATTCCTTTTGAGAATCACAAATTATCTTATTCCTATGATAATGATGCACATGGTCTTAAATAAATAAAAGGAACGAGTTAACATGAGATGGTTATCCTTCAAGAACATACTTTGACAATACAGATATAATCTACCTCTAGATACGGAGACTCTGATCATCATCCAATATGATTTCTGTAGCACATTTACATTGTCAGAGAAACATAAGTATAGGAGAGTTGTTAAGAGTGTAATCGCTAAAATGCAGAAGTTATTACATACTGGTAAAAAAGGTAACATTCATGATTCGGCATTCATCCCTCTTTCGATGATTGGAATTAATTTGACCATTTTTTTCCTAAGTTTTAATGATCAGATTCATCAGGAGAGTTGATACAAAAACTTTTCACTGATTAGGGTGTCCATATAACATGTCATTCAGGCTTCTACCAATCTTAAAATGTAGTAGGCAAGCTTTCATTCACTCTCGTGGACTTTCTCAAGCCAAGTGATTCTCCACACAGTTTCTTGCTGTCTGCTGCCCAACAGTAGATTAATCCATTCAATTTTTATGAGATACTAATTAAAGAAGAGTTGCTGATAGAATTGTAGCAAGAAGCATTATTTCAATACATGGAGATGGATCTCTAAATGAATATGAAGACATCCTTTTGAAGGAGCTTGTTCATCATTGTCGAGTTGCAGTCAATTTTGTTGTGTCATAATACAGTTCATTCATCCATTGCAGTCGTAATCAATACAAAACAAACATTAAGGAGAGAGTTGATACAAGAACACTCCAACCATCTTATGTAGTGGGAATGCCCCATTTCATCACACAGACAATAGAAGAATAAGATTAAAACATCATAATGATCATCATAATCATCATCTTGATTGATCGTCATGCAACGCGATCATTCTTCCACGTAAGTTAGATGAAGGAAAGTTTCAGGAGAGTTGTAGATTTATGTGTAGAAAGAATGCCAGGAATCCATACATATGATTCTCTTGATATATATACTGATATTGGTGACTAGGAATTGCTGATCGTCGTCATAATGTCACTGTTCACTAATATTCATTCGACAGTTGATTCATGTATTTAAGTTGTAGCAGAAATAGAAGATGTTTTCAAAAGAGTTGTTGATTGTATCGTATCAAGAATGCACAGAGCCATATCACACAGACATTGATGACGATCCAGGAGTAGTTTATTGATCATCGTCTTGGGGTCACCTTCAGCGTTTTGTTCGTAGGAGTCTTTGCTCTTGCGGGTGTGGAGTAAGATGCAGATGTAGGAACCTCCTGGAAGGCAAAAAAAACACAAAAGAAAATGGGTTTAAAGATGATATCTTGCATGATCTCTATCATATTTGATTCTCTTTATATGCTCATAATTTGCCTCTTCTTTGCTCTATTACAGAATATGATCTATGTCATGCCTTTCAAATCAATTAAATTGCTATTGATTCTAATAACTTATTGCATCACAAATACCAATGATTGTGTGGCTGGTACTACCTATTTTCCTTCTCTTTCTGATCATCTTCTTTCTCGCTTGTATCCCACTTCCTAAACTTTATTTTTATTGGGGGGGGGGGGGGGGGTGGGGGACCTAGACTTCAGAGCACTAATGGCTTAAATAACTCCTCTAAAAGACCTGGATAATCCCTACCAAAATATTTTGGAGAGTTTCCAGAGGACATGAAAGGGTATAGATTCATCTGAATTTTGTGTTTGTATCATTGTAAAATATAACTTGAAGCTGTTGTGTACAGTTTTAATTTCCCTGGAAATAATGGAGATAATTGTAAGTAAATTATTCTAAATTTCCTTCTCTTTTCCCACCTTTTATCACTTTTATTTTCTTTTCTTCTTTTCAATTTGTATGGAGTGAGAGCAACATTTCAAAGATTTCAGATCACTGTTAATTGTAAGTACAGTCGAACCTGTCTCAGTGGCCAGCTCTCTATAAAGACCACCTGTCTATAGTGTCCCTCTCTAATGCTTTCGTTCAAGATATATTGTAAAACCTGTCTACAAAGGCCATCTGTCTACAGTGACCACCTTTTCTGTATCCCTTGGATGGCATGTATAGACAGATTTTACTGTACACTAATACCTATCAAAAGGTATGTCTTCATCAGCTTGAGAATGCCAAATAGCCCGCTGTATCTGATCTGGGAAATAATCCAGAAGATACAAATTGCGTCTTCATCAGCTTGAGAATCGACCTTGAAACTTGAAACTCGAGCTTGGGAAATTAGCTCGAGATATTTTGCTCAGCGTTCGCACATACTGCGAGTGTTCAGGCTGGTAAAGACACACCAGACAAAAAGCGGGATACTTGCCAAATAGCTGGATATTTTGAAAACTAGCCCAAGATATCTTGGGATGATTATCTTGACCAAATATCCCGCTAATTACAACTTCGGGCTGATGAAGACGCAAATTAACTGGATAATTTGCGATCAGGTTATTTCAAATAGCTGGATACTTTGCAATCTCAAGCTGATGAAAACCTATTGAAACCTTACCTCATACTGTGAAAGCCTGTCCTTGAGGGCAGCTACTTCAGCCGTATCTGTTCTCTTACTAGCTGCTCCCAGCTCCACGCTACGTACCCTCTGAGCAAAGCTAAGACTGCAGTGAGACTCTCCAGAGTTCTTAGCTACGGGTGAGACCTGGACTACCATCAAAGTCTTGCTGTCTCCACCTGATATCAGGAGGCAAATACAAACACTAGTTGGTTGGTCGTTTCTTTTACCTGACTGGTAAGAAAGCATGTACATGCTTGTAAGTATAAAGCAAACCAGGCGACTGATGGCTTGAAGTCCTCTCTGAGGGACTGATAATGAGGATTGATGCCTTATACCAAAGGGCACTGGCGCATCAAATTGTTTTCAAAACCGGGACCTCTCTGTTACAAGACCACTGCTCTACCACTGAGCCATCATGACTCACCCAGTCAAGTAAATTATGATTCTCCCAGATGAGAATACCATATGCTACAAAAGGTGTATATTCATATGTCTGTTGACATAAAAAGTGGTAAAAGTCCTTAGAACTCCAAATATGAACATACCCACTAAGTGCAGAACTATCATCACTGAAGAAGAAATATATAAACTTGACCAATTGCAGGTCTTGCAAGAAATTCATATTCATGACATTTATCCATCAATTTTTTAAAAAGTCAAACAGACACGTTTATGTGTGAGACCAAGACGCCCTCTCACACCAAGACTGGCGGATATCATCAGAATCGATGGATAGCGCCAATAAACCCAACAACAACAACAACAAAATAATGTTTGATAACTCACCTAAAGATTCTTGAAGTAGATACGTAAGTTTAGAGTTCCTGTACGGTATATGACCTTGCTTAGCTCTCAAAGCTTGGATGACATCGCCTAGAGCTGAGAGAGATTTATTGATACTTTGGGCTTCCTTCAATCGTTGGGTGTCTGTACTCGATCCTGATTTATTCACTCGCTCTGAGCCAGCCAAATCTACCAGGTTCAGTTTACCTAGAGGAGGATTGAGAAGAAAGAAAGAAAGAAACAGAGGTGGTAAAATTGAAGATATTTGCATAATCAATAATTACACTGAAGAGTATTGATATGTATGGGAATTCATTGCCATTTTCAGTTTATGGCAAAAGACCACAAACAACATGAGGTGTATATAATATACAGTGCATTTGCAATCATTCCTGCTGAATACCGAACATTCCACACAGAGAGAGGGGGGAAAGAGAAAGAGAAAGAGAGACAGGGGAGAAAGAGAGAGAGGGAGAGAGAGAGAGGGAGGGAGGGAATGAGAGAGAAAGAGAAAGAGAGAGAAAGAGGGAGAGAGAGAGAGAGAGAGAGAGACCTAAAATACATGTTAACACATATCTTTCCTTTTTTGTTTAAAAACTCATATTCCAACAAAAATATCCAAACAACTACCCTCTCTCTTAGTAACAGAGAGTGAACACCTAACTCAAAACAACTAACCCCTAAGAAAAACAATCCCCAAAGTGATTACCCCGACTGTAGAGTAGTTGTCTGAGTCAAGGAATAGTTCATTGAACTTGGAAATACTAAATTGTCTTAAAGACCTCCCTGCAAGGTCACTGACAGGTGGTTATCTCATCAAATCAGCTTTCAATTAACATAAGAAAAAGAGGATCATGGGGGACCAACAGGCACCCATTAGGCATTGTTTGCTATACAGAGGGCGCAAGTAGCTATAAGTAGTGCAGTGGGGCTTTAAGGCTAGTTGTCTTGAGGTAGACGTCCAGGATGTTATCATCAAACCCTGCCAAAGACGAGTTCAACGTACCTTTTGTCCGCTTCCCAGATGCTTTGTTCTTTCCGAGGATGTTAACACATAGCAAGGCATGCGATCTTGAACTGTGTTCGTTCATGTCTGTACATGCCGTGGAACGGTTCTTGTGACCAGTGGCAAACACCTGAAAATGATTCAAAGATCAATCAATTACAGGGAAATTCTGAAGTAATTATGGTTATGTGTTCTATCATACTCCTCTTGTTCTTTCGTGTTTAATGCTTTTATGTGGATTTGTAAATTTGCGCTAAGGCGCCTTGAGCATTTGATTTCAAGTGGATTTGGTGTCCTACAAATTAATCTTATACATGTATTTTATTATTATCAATATTATTATTAGCATCATTATCTTTATCCTTATCTTTATCTTTATCTTTATCTTTATCTTTATCTTTATCTTTATCTTTATCTTTATCGTTATCGTTATAGTAATTATCATCATCATCATCGTCATCATCATCATCATATCATTATTATTTTCATCATCATTAGCACTTATAAACTTTAACAATACATGCTAGTAGATATAACTAATATTAATATAACAAGATGGTATTCAACTTTTATGCAAAGAATTAATACAGGCAGTGTCAAATGCTGATGTTTCTAAAGACAGTTCGAAACAAAACTGTTGCTGTTAAAAACAAAAATATGCCTACATTAATTTTCGATAAAATATACCTTTATAAAAGTATGTAAATTGCAATGCCTCATATATCTTGCATGTCGTCATAAAATAAACTGGAATCCTTTAACACATAGGTCAGTCAACATGACAAATTTTCAAGCTCTGTATATTTGCAGTTTTTGCAAGTTTAAAATCAATCAATCTCTTTTATTGTGAAGAATAGATTATCATAAATATCAGAAATGAACAAGAATATTACAACAATCAGAACATGAACAAAATAGACATACCCTATTGATGTCTCCAACGGAGCTGACTTCAACTTCGGTGAGTCCAGGCACATAAAGCCCGCCCTCGGTGGCCATTTTGACATCCATCTTGTTGGAGGGGTCGTCGCTCAGTAGATCCCTACAGAGAAGATGAATTTCATGTTGTTTGTTTATCTGATGGTTGATGTAGACTATTGGGTAGTACATGTTACATTGTTTAAGACCTACCGGTAAGCAAAATGATTTTTCTATTTGAGTATATAAATATTGTTTTAAATGTTCATCTTGAACCTGTATTATAAAATTGATCAGGTAGTTGAAAGTATTTCTAAAGCTGAGATTAGCATTTGCATTTCGTATAGGTACACACTCGATACATGCACAGCCTTGTAACATGGCATTTTTTTCTCTCCTGCTTATCATATACATATATATTTTTAAATACTGACCCTATCAGACAGTGTCTGGAATGTATTTTATTGGCAGAAATGTTTACCTGAGCATTTCATTGTAGATCTCCATAACAGACACAGTAATGGTAAAAGAGTAATCTGAGCGTGCGGCTGTGTCTTCAAACAGTAACTTGAGGGCACGTTGGTTGATTCCAGGGTTCTTTGCTGGACCCTAAGGACGTAATGAATATATACCAAATAGGAAATATCATTTCATGAATATTTCTCATTTAAATATCAAAATAACCCTTAATTGTATTGCTACAGATACTGCTAGCAGCTATGTACCCAGAACTTGCAGTATATATCCATGTGAGCTTTTTTTTTCCTTCTTTTTTCTTTACGATGCCCTCAGTAATCATATACTAATACAGCTGACACCACCATGTTTCACTGAAATCTATTATGTAGCTGATATTGAATGAAAGTAACATATCAAGGGAGATTTCAAATAAAAGAAGAATACATATAGTACCATTTTCTGGTGGTTCAGTAATACAATTAAATTTAACACAAGGGCATGGAACTTGATTAAAAGTGTGACACCAATTAAAGGACAGTAATGTCATGGTGTTTGTATCATTACTAGGCCAATTTCAAATGACTTGATGATGACTAACCTGCATAGTGAATGTTTTTCCTGACCCTGTTTGTCCATAAGCAAAGATACAGACATTGTAACCATCCACACTTGAGATGATCAACGGTCGCACATCATTGAAAACCTGAAAGAATGATAAATGATTCAGTGAAAAAATTATCCTCAAGAATTGGAACAATAAATCAATGAAAGGAAACAAAACAAGAAAATAGAAACACTAAGACAAGAAAGACTTGTCAGAGAGAAATAGAACATTGTAACATATCTTACCATGATGCTAAATATATTACTCATTGCGGATGTAGTATCGAATTAATAGCGCTAGTGATATTCGTTTGCTCGCAATGTATGGTCAACAAGGGATCTAAAAGATCACAACGTTTCTTAATTACCATGTTGCTAAAATATCAATCATCAATATTCTATCACTCTAATTTATTTGTAAACAATTTTGAATGCTCTATTCACTGCATGAGCAGGAGCAGGAAAGAAAGAACAAATTCCAGAGGATTTTCTACAAAATGGAATGTATCTACAATAACTCGATCAAAATCATCTTTAAAGATGAAGACCAGTTCTGGTCATGCCATTGCATTGTGAAAGAAACGTTGTAGAATCGATCAGAAAAGATTGATCATCTAGCATATGAGTATTGGTGTGTAGCTGCAAGGTTCTGGAATCATCAAAATGAAAGAAATTTGGCTAAGTCTTGGTAAAGTTACAAGCACTATACACAGAAAGATGTATATGGGACTACGCAACATGTATGCGACACATGCGCGATATCTATCAGGTCCAAATAGATATAATAATTTACCAAATACACAATGTATATCAATTAGTAGGCGGTTTCCCGGTAAAATTTGTATCATCACGTGTTAGTCAAAACATATTCTTTCACATGATTGGTAATAAGAGCTTCCATTTCATTTTTTTGAGAGGGGGGCGTTTCCAAAACTGGTCTTTACCTTTAAACTACTAAACAAGTATTGAACAAGCAAACCAACGTGTTTACGAGAGGATATATCAGTGCTTACCTCTTCCTGACTAGATGCCTGGTTGAATACTTTATCCACCTCAAACGTTGACATCCTTCCTTTGTTAAGGACATTCAAAAGTCCATCATCATCCTGATCAAACGTAACCACAGGCTTGGCGTTTGCGCCTCCTCCATCTTCCTTGATGAGTGGACGAACGCGAGCAAAGACGCGGATGTTTCCCTTCAGGTCGATGAGTTCGTTGTGGTACTTCTTGCGCAGGAGGAGCTCCTTCTGGTATTTCTTGTGAAGCTCTTCGTTGTGTTTGGCAACCTTTGAGAGCCTTGCACCGATCTGTTTTAAAAAAAAAAAAGGAGAAGTGTCTGAATGTTAGAGGGATCGGGTAACTTTGCCTCAGATTCTTAAAAAAATCCTGGGCAATTCATGATCATTTTAAAGCGCAATTTTTTTAGGGCTTCAATATTCCACCATATCACAGGCACTGATAACACGTAGGGCCATGCATCTCAGATTAAACATTTTAAACGATGCCTTTAATATTTTACAATCAATCAAATTATTTAGGACCATTTCTCTCATTGAAGAGTCAAGGAGTTTTCTCATCAATGGCTTTTAAAAAAATACTGCACAGAACTGTACCAAATACAAGATTCAAAGTATTTGTAGATATCTCCGGTATGGCTAGCTGCTTTTTGATAGGTAAATAGACAGAAAGTAAGATGTTTTAATAAGGTAAGAATAAAACAAAGGCAAGCAGTTACTAAGTACTTGGGAAGCACACAGACACATTGTAAAATGTATGATATGGGTTAAGGAAGAATATAACTTTAAAAGCTTCCAACAATGTATCACTATGTAAGTTGTGGAGTTAATATCGAGTGTTCAGTGACACAAAGACGTAACTCCATATTTTGCCAAAATGAGTATTTGATATCAAAATGTTCAGAAAAATGTGGGCTTTCCAGGAAACACAAAGCTTATCTCCACCCAACACCCCATTGAAGTTGATGGCTAGTAAAACATAGAATTAACTCCTTAAGGCCCAAGTGGACCTCTATCTTTAAACTACTTTTTCTCAAAATGGCCAAAATGGAGTTACGTCTTTGTGTCACTGACCCCTCAAATTATACTGTTTGACCTACCTCGTTCTTTGTATCTTCAATGGCCTTACTGAGCATGAGAGGGAACTGACTACACATGGACCTGAGCTGCTGATACTCCTGGGCTATCATCAGTAGTCCAGGTCTAAGCTGGTTGAACCTGGTCCTCATCAAGGAGTACTTCTGGAAGATGAAACTGGACTCCTGTTCCGCCGCCTCCTTGGTGCGTATGATCTCCTCGTCTTTAGCCTCCTCCAGGCACTTCATCTCCTCCTCCATCTGCTGTTGGACTTCAGCCATCTCTTGCTCTCTCTCCTCAAGCTACGCGAAAGAGATTAAAGATAAACTTTAGTACTGGTAATGCGATTGCATAGTGAAAGAAAAGGTGTGGAAAGGATCAGAAACAGTTGATCATGTAGCATGTAAGTATTGGTGTGCACTGCAAGGTTCTGTAGTCATTAAAATCATTAAAAAATTTGACCGAGTCTTGGTAAAGTAACAAGCACTCACATATAAAGCTATATATGGGACAACACACATGGTGTCGGGGCTACCTTGATTTCCTTGTCTTTCTATGCTCATTACTCAGCCAGTATACATTTTCTTCCAAAATTGTTTGGCACATGTCATTTATTTGTAATCTTGAACATTCAGTGTAAGTTTCGTTTGATTCTGTGAGAATTATTATTATTATTTTTACCAGTACTGGAGTTTATCTTTAACAATATTTATAATTTAAAGGTAGACCAGGTTTGGAAACGCCCCCCTCTCAAAAAATGAAATGGAAGCTCCTATTACCAATCATGTGAAAGAATATGTTTTGAATAATACGTGATGATGCACTTCAACATTGAACATTTGGGCATATATTTCTGCTTTTTTGCAAATTTAGGTTGTAGTATTGCCATCTAAACCTCTGAAGGTAAAATTTAAACAATATTAATTGAATGGATATTTTGCACCCAAAACCCTTGAACCGCAATTTTACCACTACCGGTCTTTACCTTTGACAATATTTAATTCATTCTTTCAGTGAAAGTAGCATACCACACAATGCTGCCTGACATGATTATCAAGTTATAATGCTTCAATGTTTCTGAGTTAGAATTATGGCAGTATGGCAGGTTTGCATGATGTTTACAGCTATTTACAGAAACATTAGATGCAGATGGCAAACAGAATTTAAGGATAAAATCTTACATGTGCCTTGTTTAAATTATTACATCCTAATAAGCAACACCAATAAAAAAAAATTAAAAAAAGAAGCCATTAATAGTATTTTTACAAACGTTTGAGGTAATGGTAAACAATGGTAAATAATAAAAAAGACAAAGTACAATTTTAAAAATTATAAGCACATACAAAATGGCAGAATTAGCAAAGAATTTATAGAAAATCGTAGGGTATATTACTTTAAAAAATAACAAATGAAGTATACCAAATAAATTAAGCCTACTTTTTGTACGAGTGAGTCGACCTCATTCTTGGAGTCTTCAAGCTGTTTCTCAGTGTCTGCATGAGTGTCCTTGAGTGAACTGAGATCTTTCTTGAGTTTGTTGTTCTGTAGTTTGAATTGTAACAGGGCTCGTTTCGCTTCTTCAGACTCAACCTCAACTTTCTTTTCAACCTCGACAATCTAATAAATTAATCATATAGAAAGAATTAGGTTTGTGGTGACATGGGTGAAAGCAATGATGTGAAAAAACCAAATTCAAAAGTCGATTGCCACATGCATCCAATACATTCAAGTTGTTTCATCAAGTCTTTCAAGTTGTTTCATCAAGTCTTTGTTTAAAAACTTGTTACATGTATATAATTACCAGGACCATGGCAGGTCACACAACTCTTACAGCACAATGAAATATACAAGTCCCATATATGAATTTGCTCATTGAGGTTACAACAAAGTTAGATTTCTCCTGGACTCTTTCTAGCTAACTATTCTTCTCATACAGCTCATGTGTCATGGTCTAGTGGTTATATCACCGGACTGTGGATCAAATCGATTGTGGTTCAAATCCCAACTCGGCACTTAAGTCCTTAACCTACTTTTGCCACTCTCCATCCAGGTGTACCGGGTAGGATTGGCATGTGTGCGCTTATTAAATGGTGCATGAATGGAATACTCCCTAGGGAGCAGAGCATGTGCATTATCATGTGCGGATTAGCAATTGAATCCAATGACAGGGGTAACAATATAACGATGTAAAACGCTTAGAAACAAAGTATTTGGCGCTTTACAGATGTGACTATTATAATCATTATTTCCATCTCTCCTGTCCACCCCATCCTTTCCTATCCCATCCCTATATGCTTTCAATAGACTTAAAATATGTGAAAGTCCTTGTATCACCTCGTGCAAGATTAGGGCGCTTTTATTAAACTTATAGGTACAGTGTAACCCTGTTCATCATTGTTTTCATGTTGTTTACAGACTGAAAAAGGATAGAACGGGACAGTAGAGAGTGAATAAAACAAGAAAATTATAATTTGAAATGTAAAAAACGTTGTAAACCTGGCAATAAGAGACTCTTAATGAGTCCAGTTTTAAAAATGTACATGGCTTTTCGGCTAAAGCTATCAGCCGCAGGCTACGCGCTGACGACTATCTGATCTAGGGGGTGTTTCACAAAGATCCTAAGTTGAACTTATCTCTAAGTTGGACTTAAAAATTATGGAAAGCCATTAGCATCTTTGGCATATTTTGTAAAAGGTATTGTAAAAGGCCTTAAATGTTGATTCAAAAAAATTCTATTATCAAGGAGATTTCATGTTCTTGATGTGGAAATGTGAATTTATGAAAACTCTAAAATATTTGAATATTTTTTTATCTTAATGCTACAAATGGCTCTCGATAATGTTCAAGTCCAACTTAGAGTTAAAGACCGTCAACACTACTGGGCCAGAAGGGATTAGACCACACAGCGAGGTCACTGACAGGTGACTCAGCTCTCAACTAACATAAGAAAAAGAGGATCATGGGGGACCAACAGGCACCAATTGGGGAAGTTTTCTATATAGAGGGAGCAAGTAGCTACAAGTAGGACAGTGGGGCTTTAAGTTTGACTTAGGATCTTTGTGAAACACCCCTCTAACCCTATTGAATACAAACCTTAGGATTGGCTTTCAACTCTTCATACTCCTCCTGGACCCTCTCCAGCTCGGTGCTCTTCTCGTTGAGCTGCTCCTCGAGGGATTCCTGAGCCAGGAGCTGCTTCTTTGCAGAGTCCAGGAGGTTCTCAGACTCGTGGGCAAGTCTCTCTTCAAGCTCCTTGATACGCTTTGCGCTCGATTTGTTAGCAGCTTGCAGTTTCTATGTGAGACAGCAAAAAATGTCAAAGTATACAAATATACAATGTACAACCATAAGTTGCTTTTTAGAGGTCCTGGGGGCGTTTCACAAAACTTGTCATCAGTGACAAATGACAGTTTTTGTTATAAGCCACTGAAATCCTTGCTTCTGATTGGTTATCAGCAGATCTGTCACTGATTTTTGTAATTAAATTGTCATGGAACAAAGGCATTGTGAAATGGGCCCCTAGTCTATTATTTATTCTGTATTTATGTCTTGTAATGTTTTGTATGATGCCAAATAAATTGAAACTGAATGCCTATTTGTTAAATGGCTCAGACAACCATTCTCTTTCAATATGTGGATCAACAGCTTGCTTTTTTCACAATCTAAAAGGCAGTGTATATGTTGGACTGCTTTTACCCCAAATGAGTTGGGAGATCAAGAATTTGTAGACAAAACAAAGGAAATTTTTTTTTTTTAAACAGATGATCTTTTGAAATATCAATTATGATTTGAAACCTTGTTATAGCAACACATGAATCAACAAATAAATTCAAGAAACTTCAAGTGGTTTTGGACCAACAGCTCATATATATTCATACACATAAATTGATTCTATTGCATCCATACAAGGAATGTAAATAAAATAGTTGACATCAACGGAACTGGAAACCAATGGGTCTTCCGAAGTAATTGAAGTAAGAGTAAAACTTAATTACCTTGATTTCTTTGAGATGCCCGCCCTTGGATGCCAAGAGGGCTGTATCTGAAGACTGTTTGGTGTCAGAGAGCTCATTAGTAAGCTTGGAGACTTCGACTTCCAGTACCATTGCCTTATCTTTGTAAGCCTCCAACTCAGCAATCTGGTTCTCTTTCTCATTGAGTTGGGTCTGTAAATCCTGGATCTGTTTTTTCATCTCTTCTTTCATCCTCTCCAAGTCTTCAGACATACCTGTCATGTGACATGATCATGTGACAATTAATGAATATATATATCAGAGATTTACCCTATCTAGACTGGGCTATTCACACTGGATTATTGAGAGCAAGTTTTCGAGGGAAGGGGAGCATTTCGATCATCCTACCCCATGCATCTTAGTGTACAGATCTAATCAATGCTAAAGGTTTGATCCCTGGCACAGCACTTATGTTCTTATTTTATATCTACAGCTTCTCATGACCCTGGTGTTATTGGCATGGGTACATATTATAGCGGTTTAAACAACATTTTGAACATATATAAAATGGAACCTGGCTGAAACGCTCCCGTTGAATAAAGAATAAGCATATTTGTGTATGGGCAAGCTTGAAACATTGTTGATTAACTGTATAATTCCAGACAAAAATATGGTAATCATTGTAATTTAACAGTATAATGGAAATTAAGAGACTTAAAAAAAGAAGAGGAGGTGAGAAAGATTAAGTCATATAAGATAATGAAAGACAAGATACATACCTGATGATTGGTTGAGAGTCTCTGATTGTTTCGCTGTTAACTCATCTAATTCTCTCATCTTGTTTGCCATCTCAGTCTGTAACCGAGTCAACTGTTTTTGAAGCTGAAGCTTCTCAATCTCAGATTGCTGAAAAATCAATGAATGAAAATGAGCTTTAACGATATCCATCTCCCAAATTAATTCATATTTCATAACAATCAATTATAGACTTTCTGAAAATATATTTATAATTATTGAACTTCCTGGTTCAAAGATTCATTCACACCTTGTCCTATTGTGTCTCCACCATTGAAAAAAAAATCACCTTCAATAATTTTCATTATTCTTCAATTTATTATCTATTATATTGTACGTCAACCTTCCTCTTCCTCTCAAACACAAACATAAATACACTCAATGCAGATGTCTACATACACTCTTTCTCTCTTTCTCTCTTCACCTCCCCTCCTCATCTCCTCCCTTATCCTTCTCTCTCTCTCTCTCTCTCTCTCTCTCTTTCTCCCTAATCTCTCTCTTTCTCTCTCTTTCTCCCTAATATACTCTCTCTCTTCCCTCTTTATCTCAATCTCATCTGACTAATCCCTTCTTACCTTATAGCACACCATAATGGCCTATAAGCACACTAGCTCCTACCAATCTACACCATCACTGACACTGCACGTGGACAATACTGATCCTTACAGAACACATAATAAAATAAAAGGAAGCTCAAAGACAAAGGAACAAGTCCAATCAATAGTGGAGATGGCATCCCCACAAAAGATGGCTGAAGGGTATTCACAGCCAAGACAGGGAAGGAATCGATAGATCAAACAATAGATGCATTCAAGGGTGTGGTTTGGGAAAGAGTATCCTCATGGAAATGTTTGGGTCCTAGCACTGGACCAGAAGGACATAGTCTGGAGGGCAAAGGTCGGACCCATATGAATCCATCAACAACGGCACAAGCAGCTTACTTATCAAATTCAATGAAAGGGAGGTGATGAAAAAGGAATTCTTACAAGAAGGAAATGAGCTGCTATAATATGTGCCACACCAGAAATATCTTTATTTCAAGCACATGCATGTATGTTTTTAAATTTTACCCATTTCAATGCACCTTTCCAGTGCTTGATCACTAAATACATGTAACCCAATTTAATGAAAATATTATTGGGTAAAAGAAGGGGATTAAATCATAATACAGTCAAACGTGTCTATATATAGCGACTGCCCAAGCGGTCTTTGTAGACAGGTTCCGTTAGTACATGTTTCAATGAGAAACCATTTTCAAGTGAACAAAAAATATGGTCTTTGTAGACAGGTGGTCACTAAAGCAGGTTTGACTGTATTATACTTAGGGTTGATGCCCTTCGTCTGACTCTCAAAAAATGAGAATGAGATAATTCATCTCAAACTTGAGTCATTTTTCAACTCACCTTGAGTGACTTGGACTCCCTCCTCCTGACTTGCTCCTGGTGCTGTGCCTCCTTCTTGTACCTCGAGCAATCATCTTTCAACTTCCCCACCTCCTCCTGTAGTTGCTCCACCTCCTTCTCATAGTCTGTCACTCCACCATGCTGCTTCTATCATGACGAAACAGTTTGAATAAATTAAGTCAGTAACTCGCAGTAAATTAGTTTTGTAAAGATATACACTTAGGCACTAACTGCTTCTTTAATTAAAAACAAAACAAATGCATTTCAAGGAGATTGAGTCAGGAACTCATGCTGTTTCGACAGAAAATATTTTTGTAAAGATATATTCAGTCACTAAACTAAGCTGCTTCTACAGACAACAATGTTGTTCTAATCTCAAAATACAATCTTTCATAAATGAAAATTCTTTCACATACTAAGTAAGACAGCAATTTTCATTTTTTATTATTATTCATTATATAATCATTCCTGGAGAGTTTGAGAACAAACTCTTTTACATACATGCACCATTTTCAATCCATTAAAGATTTTTCACTCTTTATTACCTTTAATTCATCTTATTGCAATTCTGGCTTATAGCACTCTAAACTGTAAAAAAGAAAGGCCTTTTTAAATGCCTCATTGCCAATTTTCAGCAATTCTGTACTAGTAAAATCTAATCTAACACACAAATCCGTCAAATGAAATCATAGGGACTCTGTAAGAAATTTCATCAGTTCCACAAAAATAAATTTTCTAGCAGTTATTCATACTATGCAAAATATAATAACATGTACAGTAAACAACTAAATTATTCATACCCTCGTAATTTTTTAAGTATGGGAAAAATTGATTGGTCCCAATTCATGTTTCTTGAGAATATGACATATTAAAGTTTACATCTAAAAGTATTCAAGAAAGACCCTAATTCAACCACATTCAACTATCATTCTTGAGTTACGAAAAAAAACATGAACAGCATCAAATTTACAAGGGTTATTAAAAATTTACATGTAGTTATTAAAGGTAATACAAAGTTTTGGTATGGGGTCATGAATTTGGTTCAAATGAACATATTGGAAGCATATGCGATCCTATAATATGCAGTGATCGTTGTCGCGGTTGAAATCGAGTCTAAAGTTATGAAATTATAAATAATTAACTCTTTATGCTGTATAGCTCCCTCTCAAGGTCAAGATATTAATTAACCTATAAAACAATGTTTCTTGACTAAAATCAACAGACTAGCTATTCTCGTTTGGAAATTATATATCACAACTACATATTCAGAGATGTTCATGGTTGCAGCTACTATTGTACGGCCGTAGGCGCTATTTGAAATATATCAAAATTTACTGGGAGCACCGGTAAATTTTTATATTCCATTTTTCTCGAAAGCAGAAGTGTTTTAGGGGCTAAATTTTCTATTGCTTATAATTCATCCACAGGGGCATCCAAATATATCAAAATTGTAAAGAATCACTATCCACCCAATTTTCAAAATTTCCCCAAACTTTGTATTACCTTTAAGTGCATATATGATAAAATGTTGAGTGGGTGGATAAAAAATATCAGAACATCAATCATCACTCTCACCTGTTCCTCTTGCATCTGCTTGATCATAGAATTAGCTTCCTCCAGCTCCTGCCGAAGCCCGGACTCTACCACTTGGTTACCATGGTTACCCCTCTCTGCTTTATGATCGTCATCCTCATCCTCCCTAGGGCTTGGGTGATGTTGGTCCGGCCCGCCCCCACCGTGTCCATTCTGCTGCATCTGCCTCAGGGCCTCCTCAGCCGTGTACTGTTTCTCCCTGGATTCAGCGACCTGGTTCTGCTGCTCTTCTAGAGCATCAATGAGCTGCTCCAGTCGGCTTGAGATGCTGTTTGACTGAGTTGAAGCTGCTCCTGCGAACCAAGATTTTCAAGATTTCAAATTTATTCATGTTTCAACAAAACATTACAAATCAATTATAAACATTTAAAACAAATTTAAGAAATACATGTTGGAAACAGAGGGGTCCACTAAAAAGCAATGCTTGTACAAGTGTGAACAACTCAAATGAAACTTAGGAATAATGAGTAATTACATTAACTAATCTGTAACTACAAAAGGAACTACAAAATAGGGGAAAGAAAAAGGGGAATGCCAACAGAGACGAGAAAGGGACAAGACAATACTTTACACGACAAAGATAGAAGAACACGGTCATAATACAAAGAGTAGACAATGACAAAAAGAAGTGAGAGATCGAGGGTACAGAAAATAATACTAAAAGATGAGCTGCATGTGGGGTTGAGAAGAAGATAAGGAAAGAGAAATGCATGTTAGAAAGGAAATAAGCATGAGAAGGAACAATATAATATATCAAATTACAAACACAAGATAAGGGTATAAAATCAAACCTGCCTTTACAAAAAGGGTATGGAAGGACATCATTTTAGCTACAGATTTATCCATACATTATATTAAGAATTTTATCTATGGTAGGTAAGTCTCTCTACTCAGTAGTGAATACATGTATGAACCTGGTAATATTTATTAAATGTGATAATGTGATATACTGCTGCTGTAGCTAAAAACTTGTTTCTCATTTTTCAAGCAGATTGAGAAAGTTTTATGAGTGTTTCACACACAAGTTTGAATGATTTTATGATTTTTTTTTTGTTATATAAAACTTTTTAATACAAGCATTTTTTCATATATCGTTATGTAGTAAATGTATTTCTACCTGTCTCCCTTAAAACAGAACCCCATTATTCCTACACACTGACCCCATTATCTTGTGAGTCTAGATATTGACCATTAATGATCACCCAAGAGTTAACTTCAAGGAACCACATTCCAAGAACTATGACTCATAGGCCCAAACTCCAGTCACTTGCACTGTGCATCACTACAAGGTGTGGTGACACCCCCTTATCCTGGTAGACAGTCAACTATTGACCAATCAAAGCATGTTTAGATTACTCATTCCTGATATATAAGTGCAGTTCCTAAACTAGAGAAGGGGGGATTAATTTCAGAGTATAACAGAATTTTGATACTTCAAACTGCATAAGTAAAATCATCCATTAGACTTGCTCTCGACTTCATTGTTAATAATCATATCTTTGAGTGGTTCTTCAATAAATGTTATACCTTCAACTGTATTTATACTTTGAGCCTCTGTGCAATTTATAAAGAATGCTGGCACCAAGGTAATACAATATAATCCGAATCCACAACACAACAATATTATGTATGCATGTCTATCGCTATGAGACCATGTCTTTAATATGGTCTTTCTGTTTCATATCATTAAAGCAGTTTGTATATTTACATTTATATATTCTTTTGTATTATTTATCATTCACAAGTACTAAAACAAAAAGGATAAAACAATTTTGTTTCTCACCTGTATCACCTCCTTCAAGTTCAAGAACCCTTGTTTCCTGGTCCCTTATGATATCCTGAAGACTGTCAATGAGTTGATGCTTCTCTTGCATATGAGCTTCGTGACTCTTGCGTAATATCTTGATTTGTTGCCACTTGTTTGCTTTCTCCTTCTCATAGCTGGCGCGGTATTGCTGGGAGCTCTCCCGGAAATTCTATTCAAATTTCAAGATTAAAGTTTATAATTATGTTGATAAAAATGATAATAAAGAAATAATTACTATCATCCTAACTATAGATAAACTAGTAATTATAGTACCACAGGTACTGACTAATATCATAATACTGCAAAAATGTTTGTAAGTGCCAGTCTTTCAATATTGGGATTCTATGTTTGATTATTGCCTACATGTGCATGTAGCTCCCATGCTAGCGATGTTCCTGACAATGAATTGAGTTTTAAGAGGAATAAGTCAACGCAAAGCGTAGCATCCCCTCGCAGAGTGCAAATGACCTATATTTAGCGTTTTTTGCATTTTTAATGAGCTGTGATGACCTTTGACGTACAAACTCAACAACATTAAATGAAAAACACATTTTCACATACACAATTAGGTATTTTCGCATATATAATGAGCTATGACCTTTGACCCACATACTCCGAAATCAAACTTAGGCTGTATTTTGATACCCATCATGTACCTTCATATTAAATTTCATTAAAATCCCTCAAACATTACTAAAGTTATCGAACGGAAACAAGATTTGTTAAGGAAGTACGGACAGAATTAGGACAGACGGCAGCGTTACTATATCCCATACGACTTTGTTGGCGAGGGGATAATAAATTTGCAACATGTATTGTTAATTAGTAGATACCTTGACTTTCAGTAGAAGCTCTTCTCGCTGCTGATGAGTTTGTTTTAATTCCTTGCGCAGAGCTTGGACATCCGCATTAGACACCATCGCTAAAGAAAAATATAATAATGGATAACTATCAGTATACATCACTCTGTAAATTTACATGTACAATATATTATCAGTGTAATTTCTTATGCTTGTTTTATGGGTTGTAAACTTAGCTATTTTTAAAATTATCAAAGTATAAATACAGACTTGAAGGGGAGAAAGGCCAACTGCTTTGTGTTTTAATACCAGTATTACAATTTCAAGCTTAAACTTATTATATAATTTGTCTATAATGTGTTAAATTACAAACTTTTACAATAATTTCAGTCAATTCTGGTTTCAGGAGAAATATTTCACTTTTCTGGATACCCATACGACTTTGGACTGATGTACGTTACATATATGTAAATCATTTCACTGTAAATAACTCTAATCCACTTTTATTTGAAAAACAAACAATGCAGTCAACAACAATAGCGGAATAAACAAGTTTAAAAAATGCCAGTATCATTATGTGCAACTAAGTTGAAATATGATAACAAATACTCACAAATTAAGTTGTACAGATACGACATATTGTCCAAGTGTAGCACAATCCTAAAGTAACATTTTTGTCCTCTTAAACTCCCAACATTTTCTCATAAATCAAGCAAAACTTGCCAAAAGCTCATAAACAAGACACAAGTGAACAACAACAAGAGGAACACTGCAATTTGCTGCGCAGTTAATAAAGTGTACAATATGCCAGTTACAATATGAAAAATGATACACAACTATGAAAATGAAATTTGCACTTCAGTGGTTTTTAACAGACCATGGGACATTCCAAAGAGTTCAAGCATGTTAGTCTTTCATGCCCCATCGCCATGTGGGTGTGGTTTTCCATAATTAGTTTTTAGAGCAAATACTAAATATCCTTGGACCTTGGGGCTCAAGATATTGAACAAATTTTTAGTAATTCCTTCTCAAAGGGATTGCCTTCTTAGACATTAGACCTTTTTTTTCATCAGCAAATTTATGAAAACTCAATTATTCGTATAAATTTATATTTATTTATTATACAAACACACATGAATTGTTTCCACATCATAAAAAATATAAATTGGGTGCTAGCTGAAGTTTCTTTCATATTCAATAAGATATTATAATCTGTGAGTATACCTCGCCTTCAATACATGATACCCTGGCTAATCATTGTATTCAAATCATCCATGCAAGAATGCATCGCATTAATACCAATAAACAGCTGTTACATATTGATCTCTCTCTCCCTCTCTCTTTCTCGCTACCTCTATATCTCTCCCTCACTCTGTCTCTCCCTCTCTCTTTATATCTATCTATTTCTCTCTCTCTGCCTCTCTCTCTCTCTCTCTCTCTCTCTATCTCTCTCTGCCTCTCTCTCTCTCTGCCTCTCTCTCTCTCTCTCTCTTTCTATCTCTCCTTCTCTCTGTCTCTCTCTGTCTCTCTCTCTACCCTCCATGCATACAATATGAAAGATTTGCAATTTCCCTATAATATAACCTGCAAGCTGTTCTGATTAAATACAATGTAAATGTTTGTTAGGAATACATTGTAGATACGTGTACAGTGCTAATTAAGTCGATAATAATATTCTACAAAATATAACATACCCTGCACATGTAGAAGAATCGCATCTGAAGAATAACTACTGTGCAATAATGAAATTACAGTATTTCTCATGCATTGCATTTGTATTGCATAATATAATATGAAATCAGTTTTTTTAATGATTAAAAAGTAATAGGTATAGATGCAATCAGCATCAAATTAACAAAAAAAATATTCACAAAATTGGAATTTGCAATTTGTCCTTTAAAAAGAGACTACATGTACATGCATGTACATGTCATTTTGATGTGAGCAAATAAACAAAAAATTCCTCTGTGCAATCACTTATTCTATATGAACTAAACAATAATAATAATACATTTCAGTTTTCTGGTTGTACAGACCTACATGTACAATGTTCAGTACATACATGTATTTGTATCTCTATTTGATATGAATGTGAATGATCATGTGTTAACATCATTGATATTGCTACTGTCCAAATAACTGGGATTCCATCAGCTCATCAATACCACATCCATGACAACACACAGACACACACAAATGCTATCCAATACACGTTCACATCAACTGACTGTGTATGTGTACATGATACTAACATGTAAGAGCATTTTCATTCTATTTATTCAGAAATATTCTCGCAAAATCAGTCACCTCAGCATATCAGGATAAGAAACCAATCTTTTTTTAACTAATATTATCAAATATGTCTCTTAGTCTTATCCTTAAATTAGCATACTAGCTGTATAAAATAAATGCCTTTATTAAAGAGAGAAAAAAGACCATGATCATACAAGTCTATGTTATACAAACACATGAGCTGGCTCAAAGCCTCTTGTAATTTATAAAAGACCTTGTAACCTCAAATCATTACGCAAGCAACATCCACAAAATGCAAGACAATTATGAACAAGCATCATTAACATAACTCCCAACAGATAGAAAATAATTAACAAAAGCTCACCTTTTTTGCCTCCGCCGAGACCGCTGTCCGCCTCGTCATAGCTTCCATCGCTGCTATTTTCATCTCCGTCACTAAGGAGGTCACCTGACGCAAAGAGACGACGAGAGATTGCACTCAACATCTCATTTGAATTTCATCTATGCTAATGAGGATGTTGTTATCAAATACCACCCCAGTTCCAGTGTGCATATTGACTCTCTGCTCAGTATCTGATCAACTTTTACATTCTCAATTTTAAAACACAAAATGAGAGAGATGCAACTACAGATAATTGAGATTGATGCTAAATATTCAAAAGAATTGCACCCTTTTTTCTCAGTGAATTGTAGATTCCCTTTTTCTATGCAGATCTACTGATACTGATAAGCTGCAATTCTGCCCCAAGCAGTTATTAGAACCTATAGATATATGTATTTGTAATTTTGCATAAGGGCTGATCTTCATATTTTTACAGGAAATTATTGATTAATTTTATGCACAGCAGATGTTGACCTTGAGAAGTATTGCCAGTTTTTTTCATTATTGATTTTTCAAGATATACCTGTAGTTAAAATGAGCCAGTAATTAGGGGGAACGGTTATAATTGGATTAAAAATACTTAATATTAATTACACACAGTATAAGAATATTTTAAATTCAATTATGTTTTCTATAGATACACCCACCTCAGTGGATATACCTATTTGCAGTAAACACACCTTCAAAAATATCCTCTGTTAAATCTCTCTCTCTCTCTACCATATTCTCTCCAACCCCCTCCTTTCCTTGGATTCTTTATTTCACTGCGTCTCTTAACTCTAGCTCATCTCCTCTTTTTTTCTCCCTGTCTCTCTCTCTCTCTAGCTCTCTCTCTCTCTCTCTCTCAAACAAGTTATTATGAATGCTATGTTATTCTTCCTTCATCAATACCCTTTAGTACTGATATCATATTAATTACAACATCCATGCAGTATGAATGTTTCTTATACTTTATTTAAAAAAAAACTAATTAATAAATTTATTCACATTCAAGATTACTATTGAAGTTGTGTCAATTTTCTAGTACCGGTACTGTGTTTTTGTTTTTTTCCTTCATCTTCCATTTACTGATATTGCCTTTTCACTCATGTCTCCTTCAATTTCAATATATTTCATCATTTACAAGAACTTTAATTCTAAACTAAATTCTACGCTAATGGAAAATGTAAAAGATCGAGGCCACCACAAGTCTTCCATATTATTACTCCCAAACAAACTACTACATGTAATATATTTTAGATCATGAATTCACATGCACATGCTCAGTCGAGCAGCCAAAGCTGTATCCAATGAAAGTGGCATTGTCTAGCTACATAATAGGTTTTATGTGGTAGCAGAAAGCAGTCTTTTGTCTGCTAAACTTAGTCCTTAGGGTGTTAAATTCAAGAAAGCAATGAGGTAACCATGCTGACGTCATTGCACCCCCTCCCCCTCTATATTTTCCTGTATATTCGGAGAAGAGTGTTTTTTCTTTCATCCATTCTTTCTTGCTGTTCTGTATCTTGTTTGTTGTTTTCATAACATACCTCTGATGACGGTGAGTGTTCTTACTGTTAATTGACTTTGTAAAAGCTGACACGTACTATATATGTAGAAAACATCACACAAACGAAAGTATCATATCAATGATGGTGAATAATTTCTCTGTTATTCCTTTGTTTTTTGTTTCTTTGTAATACTTTGAATGCAGACTCCTAAGCATATGTAGCTCCCTCTATAATCACAAGTTAAAAATGTTAACTTATTTAATAGAAAGTGAATAACACTGTCTTTAAGGTTTTAAGTAAAACAGCCTCTGAGGAACTAATACTTCAACAAGATCTGCTTCTAGTTACTTCCTCTATTATCATGCCATTACTATTATATTTGTCTTGTTTCATTGGAAAAAATTGTAATATACTTATTAATTGTATTATTTTTTGCATGAGAAATAAAATCATTTGAATCAAAGTTTAAAAAAATGTTCTCCAATTCTAAAATCTCTTTATCATTTGCCTTTACTTGCAAATTATTCTATTCTCTGTTTTACCTTTTCCATCCATGAAATTATCTCTCTCATCCCTCTCTTATTCTTCCATTAACAACCAATCCACACTCTCCTTCCTTCTTCATCATCTTTTTCTCCTTTTTTCTTATTCTTCCTCATATCTTTCTTATTCATTTATTGTTCTTCTCTCTCTCTCTCTCTCTCTCTCTCTCTTTCTTTCTCTGTTTTATATACTTACTATCACCAAAGCCCAGTTCTTCCATCAATGACTCTGCTCTGGAAGGGGTAGGGGACGGTCTTGTTACCCTCCCACCTGTGTGGAATGTCTTGGGTGTCTTGAAGCTCATGTTGTTATTATCATTACCCTGGCAAAGAAAGAAATACAATGTAACATGAAAAATACGACATTTATTCTTTTCCCCCATGTATAATAAGTTGGTATTACTAAAAGGTAAGGCTAAGGCATTAAAAAGGATACTCTCATGTTTTTCATTTATTGTCATCATCGCCATAAAGCCTAACCCATACTTTGTAGTACCCTTGAAAACTGAATTTGCAGCAGTTACATACAATAAGTAGTTATTTTCAAAGCTGAAAAGAGACATCACATGTCGATACCAACTTTCAGAAGAATGTGCATACATGTATATTCACTCCTCATAGTATATTTTACACCGAGTCAATTTATGGTGTTAATCCAGCTACTAAAACTAGTCGTACTGTACTAGTTACCGTAAGACTGCATATCAGTGTTAATAATTTTAAATGAGGTATGTAGTACTTTGATTTTCTGTTCTAGGATAGCACATTATTCAGTGGTAGTTGAATGCTGCCCTCATCTTTTAAAATTTAAAACTGTCAAATATTTTCCAAAGAATCATAATTAAAAGTTTCTATGACCTCAAACAAGTAGCCAGTAGGTTTTATCATTCAGTGATATTGCAGAATTCTTTTTGTCTGCTGAAAAAAAACGTTCATTTTTAATCCATAGGTTTTATGGCTTCTATCAAAATCCTGACTACGTGTACTGTATACATTACAAAGCAGCCAGCTTCCATTAAAAATTCTACCTTTCATATTGGAGAAATGCAGCTGGCAGCCTCTCAATGTAAACAACTCTCACAATGACTTTGGACATTTTATAGATTCAGCACTCTAAAGGCCTTGTCTACAATGTATGGAGGGTTTTCGTATTGCTGGGTTAGATCGAGATATTGACCTTAAAGACAGCAAATACAGGTGTCACAAATATTCATTTTTTGGAGAAAGCAACTTCAGAAATCTAGATGTATCCAGTAATATGACTAACTTTCATCATTGCTTGTCAAGGGAGTGTTTTCGTATTGCTGGGTTACATCAAAATATCAACCTTAGAGACAGCAAATGCAGGTGTTAAGAATATTCATCTCTTGGATAAGGACAACTTCTAAAATTGAGGTATCCAGTAATATGACCAACTTTTATCATTGCTTGTCTAGGGAGTGTTTTCATATTGCTGATTTCAACCTTAAAAAGAGAGCAAATGTGGGAGGTACAAATATTCATCTTTTCTTTTGGATAAAGGCAACCCCTAAAGTTGTTCAATCATGTTATTTATATGTGTGCAGATCTCTCTTGCTGATACATTGCTTACAAGACAAGTATTTTTGTTATAGGAATAAGATAGCGAATTTAGCAATACATCAGCATTATTAAACAGAAAGTTTTCTCTACAGGTAAATTTTGATACAATGAGGTCTTGACATGTGAATACAATCTGATTATGTTTTAGGGGCGTGATCTTGATCACTGAAACTGATGCCTTCAGACTGGGCACAAGGGATCTCTGATCTAGTCAAGGATAATAATTCAACTCACACCTGAAATGTTATTATCTTCATACATAATATATGTATGACTATCCACTCATTGTTCTAATAATAGTAATAAAAGACCATCATTGGAATAAGTCATGTTCCCTCACCAATGCCCCCTCCCCCCAAGGATCTACTTATTAGTTATTACAAGCCTCAGATATATTATAAACTAAGTTAGTTGAAACATAGTCTGTGAATCTTCTTTTTTAAATCTATGAACTTTTACATGAAAGTGTTTACAAAATGCACAATTTGAGAAAATTTAGGTTTTAATGCAGAGTAAGAACATAGATCTACCAAACAAAACCTCAGGTACCATCTCTGATGGGTGGAGGCATTCTAAAGGAATGTTATCAAATTTAAGGTCTGATGCTCTATTCACAAGTCAAATCTATGACAACAACAGAAGTGTGAAATTAAATCCTGATTGATTCTCTAGAACAAAGCAAGCATCAGCTGTTTAAATACAGACACCGTAGGTCCATTTCATGTTTGTGCAGTTGCTAGGCAACCATTCCATCCCTAAAGAGATGAAACGACCCTTAAACAAACATGGACTACAGTCTACTACCTCGATTTCTAGTGCATTGCTCACTTTAACAATTAATGGGGCTACTTGTGATCAAAGAAGATTATATATATATATATATATATATATTGAAGATAGTTGTAATCTACAATGTGATTTTTGTATGTGAGCAGACTGGGTGGTACCCTCTTTCTGGGCTAAAAAAACCCCACTACATTATGTTTGATGGAATGCCTATTTTTCCAGGTGTTCAACTTTAATTTCAGAGTGATTACTGGTTGATATTTCAGCAATTGTGCACCAATTATTGGCAGCACATGCCCATGTGAAAGAAAACAACGTTTGATACTTAAAAACAAAACACTCATACTCTGATTGATACTCTAATTAATATAGGATTTTGAAACGTAGGGTGTTTTACTATTGACACAATCTGTCAAAATAAGCTGTACCATACACGTAATTACTGTACATTTCTCCTTTTGTTCAAGATTATAAATCAATATTCTCAATGTACAGTGGTTTCTTCATTGTATCTTTAATCTATCTCACACAAACACCACTTATTGGCCTTGAAAAGATATATTGATTAGAAGAGTTGTCCTGAAGGTAACACAAGTAATAAAGATTGTGACGTCAGTACGATGATCTCTGAATGTGGGAGGGGGTGCACCAGAAAAGGAAGAGAATATCTCATGATCACTCAAAGTGTCATCAGCCAAATAAAGTTTTTTCTTCTTCTTCATATGATACAATAAATAAATGATTTCTTTTAGCTTTTGTGAGGATTATGCAGCTTTATACATGGTCATGCTCTTGTACATGTTATTACGCTTTTAACTGTCAGTATCTCTTACTTCTCCCCTTCTTAATCCTTATATTTGATACACATACAGATATCAACTAAATGATTAAATTTGATGTTTTTATTGTTGTTTTTAACCCAAAAATGAAAGGTGGACTGATTGAATACTTTTAAATGTAAGCTTTAATGCGTCACATTCTCAAAAAACTTAAATCAGGACAAATCTATTTTTTAAATTTTCTCAGAAAATTACAAAACTTGGATTAATTTATTTGTTCACTGAATCACTGTATTTATATTTATAATCAACAATACAATAACACAGAAGCAATCATACGTTAGAAGAATAATTAGCAAAATACTTTAGTCTATTAAGTATATGATAGTTCAGTATAAAGTATCTAAATTCAAGTACAGTGTGTCTATAATAAAGTGTCATGTACTTGACCAGTAGGACTCTTTACTGCTAGTACATGTAGATCTAAGCTTGAAAAACATTCTAAAACACTGTAAACTTAGGCGACATGAAACTTAATTGTGAATTGTTACGTACAGTGTACACACATTTTCACAGCATGAAACTTTTGCAAATTGCAAAAATTTAGTCAAAGTTAAAATTGACTTCCAAGTTTAGGGGATGTACTTGTACAAATGTTTAATTCTATAATAATACTCACTCTGGGGCTAGTATGATACATGTTGATGCGATGATTTTGCTGATCCCCACAAAAATGAAAAGCCTGACTACTCTGAGGGAATCAAGTCATACTAGGTACATTTGTTGCCAATCTGATGATCACAACTCCATCTAGAGCAAGAGAGAGAGAGAGATTTAAAAAATACACGAAATGATGTTGAAACTCTTAAGAGTCTGTTTTTTTTTTTAAAGTATACAACTCTGCACAATCTATATGCAAAAGTTCCCAATCCAAACTCAGCAAGATGTCCCCACTCCATAGTTGTCGTTGTTGTTGGATTGGTCCACTACGTACATCTCGTTTGATCCGATTGCATGTAACCAGGGTATCAGCATCAGCATCAGCATCAGTATACGGAAGTGTGTGGTGATCCTGTTGAAACTTCCGGTCGTTTCATTGAGTGGTGCTTCGTTCGAAAATGAACCTGAACTATTTTTGCTCGCATAGCGGCCGGGTGGACGCACATATAAATTTTATGGAAGCATTTGGTGCTGAGAGGACCAGTGCTTGTCCAATCGCAAGTTTATAGTTGATTTGTATAGGCCACTTGGTCTCAAATTCAAACTCCACATGGTGCTCAGAGCCTCAGATGAAGATTGGACATTGTAATCAAAATACATGTAGTTTGCTTTTTATTTGTAAGAAAAAAACAATTAGAAATATATAATTGATATTTACAGTCATTAGAATCATTTGGAATTCTACCTGTCCTGTATGTCACAGTAGAATAAAAACTGAAGTTAGACGGGACTTGATAGTTCCGTCAAAACAGCCAGTAATTTGAGATTCGACTACATGTAGTGTTTCGTCGTAATTGAATATTTGGGGTGCATGCGCCGAGTAACAGTACCCCCTTGCTACTGGTACCGTTATGCACCTGCACCCGTTCAAGCCACATCGTCTCGCGCACCGACTTCAAACATTACAAACTGTTTATTTGAGCATTTATGGATTTTCTAGCAGTCAAAATTGCATTGATAGTAATCTTAAACTCCTTAAAATTTAATATATTAAGGTTCGAAAGCTACTTACCACGCAAATAAATATATAATTCCTTCCTTCAAAATTAACAAACTGCTATGTTCTCATTAATTCACATTAGGCCTAGATCATGTATTCTATTAAAGTCTCCGGCGAGCCGTGCGGGTGCAGACCGGTGGCGTTCTTAGCAATCGCAGTTATGGTGACGAGACGCCTTCAAGGCAAAACTGCCAAGCCGGATACGCGCCCTCTAAAGAAAATCTTGGAATTGACACAGCATCAATAGAACACATTAGTGGTGTCTGCAGCTGCAATCTCGTCGTTGGAAGAAGGCAAGAGGAGCAGAAATGAAGGTAAACAGATGAGGAGAAGAAAAAAAACAAAGAAACGGCAAGAAGGGAAAAGCCGAATGGACAGTTATAAATAAATGAGATTAGGGAAAAAATAAACTGAAGAATTTTGAAAGTTACTTATTCCTCGAATTTGACGGAAGAATATATTAGACCTTTGTGGCGGGAGGGAGTTCTGTGGGTTAGAGTCAGGTGCGTACGCAGGGGGGGGGGGGGGTTAACCCCCCCCCCCCCATCTTAAGTTTTTTATGTGTATGTTTTGTGTATGTTTTCTGGGGGAAAAAAAACCTTTTGATTTTGATTTTGATTTTTTTTTTTTAATAAAAAAAATATATATATATATATATATATATAAAATAAAAATAAATTATGCCAATGACTGACACTGACCTAAAAAAGGTGACCTTACCCCCCCCCCCCAACGGAACAAATGTCAAATTTTCTAATTTCGAGACCCCCCCAAAAAAGTGTCCGCTAACCCCCCCCCCCCCCCCCCCCCCCCCCCCCCCCCCGCTTATTCAGCGGCTGGCTGAGTCGATGCGAAATTTTGGGCCCGATTTTAACCCCCCCCCCCCTTGAAAAAATCCTGCGTACGCCACTGGTTGGAATAATGTAAGTTATACATTTTTTAATAGATAGAAGCCCCCAAATACACGCACACACTATTAAAGGGAGGTGGACTGTACAAATAGTTTTACCCTCCGACTTTTCAAAGGATATATAATTTGGAAATGCAACCAGTTTCCAAAGTTTTGAGGGAAAAAATAATATAGAAAGTATGGTTGTAGAGTGTTGCTTTGTTTTGTTTAATTTCTAGGAGAAATCTCGGCGCCTTCCCGATTCCCCTCCGAAAAACCGATTTACGCCATGGGGCCTATATAAAACAATAACACTGACATTAAAGGCATTTGCATAAGACTCAGCTATATATGCTGCCATAGTACAACTTACATCATGTACCTTCCTACAATGTAATGTTCTATTGGCCTATGCCTGAATGGCGATATCTAAATTTTTAAGTCATTTCTATTTCTTTATTCAAATAACCAAGGTTCAAGTTGTGCCCACTCCGTCGCCTGAAATTCGTTCAGCCCCCCCCCCTCCCCTTTAAATTTCTTATTAAAGCCGAATATCTCTCTTCTTTGAACAAAAAGAGTGAAACTTTCTATTTCTCTTATTTTGAAAAGAATCTACCCGCCCCCGGTCGGGTTTATTTAATTTGTTTTTATTGTACCTACAGTGGAAGAACAAAGTATGTCAGATATATTGTTTTGAAAGCTGCTTATGGTCACAGCTCCGACAATTTTTAGCATTAGGCTATGCACGGCATCCGACGACCCAACCCTGATTCTGGATGCCAGGGGCGGATCTAGCATTTTGCTAAAGGGGGGAGGGGGGTTGACCCAGTAGAGGGGGGGGGGGGGGGGGCGAAATTTGAAAATCGCGTCGAGCAATATTTCGCTCAGTGTGGGGGAAGGTTAGCGAGTACTATTTTTTTTCCTTCATTTTGCCCTCCGAAATTTGAAAAAAGTGCCGACCGATATTAAACTCTTTTTTGGAGGGCCAGCCAGTTAGGGGGTTTAACCCCCCGTAGACCCGCCCCTGGATCCGTCTGATTCTGTTCAAGGAACACTTTCTACTCTAAAATGCCCTAAAGCACATGAATCAACAAACTCGTCGATAATTATTGTTGCGGGACAATTTTCAAAATAAATGGAAATGTATTAAAAAATGTGCCAACAAGACTGAATTGTTTTTTTAATGATATAAATTAATATAAATTTATTTACAGCAATCATTTCATCAGCCCTGAAAAATGTACTCACAGCATGGAGGAGGCTGGCAAAACCAGGCCTAAGACTGATATCATCAAATACCCCTCCCCCCTCCCCCCCCCCCAATCCAAAACCAGCAATCCTGAAATGTCACGATCCCTCAAAACAGCTCAGACTTTATATAGTGGGGTAGCGAAAACTCGCAAACTTCAACTTTTTATTTAAAAGAAAATAATAAAATAAGGAAATGTCAAAACAGTCTTTGTAAAAAAATACACCACAAGGCCTAACGGATCGAAGGAGGAGGGGGGGGGGGGGAGTAGACATTAGCGGGAAAGATTTCTCCACCTGGCACACCCAGCCGCTCTAAAAATAATGATGGTCATGCAAATTTACAGATACGCTCATGGCGTCAAGGATTTACAATTTTCATTAATCACTTGAAACATTACCGCCTCCGTGGAACTTCCTTTCCAAAACAAGTCGATGGACAACAAACACAAGTTTGGGCCCCAATTAAAAAAATCATGACTTTTTTTCATTTTTATGAGCTTAGACTGGTTTTTGTAACGATTTCACCTACCACATAGCAGGTTTTTTCCCACGTTATTCAATATTCATTCGATATTAATTGTTTTTGCAATACCACAAATGATATCTCAACAGTGTACAAACAGGAATAATCGATATATTTGCAAAGGTGGCGGACCTGGGAGTGTCCCTCTTCCTTTGTAATAAGTGCCCCTTTCCCTTCTGATAAGTGCCCTCTTTATCTTGACACGTGTCCCTTCTCTGTCTAATAAGTGCCCTTTTCTTTCTGATAAATGCCCCTTTTCTTTTTTTAAATGAGCAAATTCCCCTTCTCACACACTTGGTATACCCATTTTCCTTAGTATGCACCCTTTCATTCTAATAAGTGTACCCTTTAAACTTTGTAAAAAGTGCCCCCTTTCATCTCTGATAGTTTCCCCTCAGTTTTGTTTTGACACTTGCCCCTTACCCGAATGTCATTTGATTCAATCAGCATCTAGACGAGGGTAATTAGCATAGACACTTATACAGCTCTATGCGGTACTATTCCTGAAAAGGTATAGTGGCCATTCAAACTATGAGACAGGTAGGTTTATCATATCCAGGCGCGGATCCAGGATTTCTCAGGGGAGGGGGCCCAAATGTTTTTTTTTTTTTTTTTGCTCTCGAAAATTTGAAAATCGCGCTGGCCGAAAAGTCGCTCAGTGGGGGGGGGGGGGGGGGGGGGGGGGGGGGGGGGGGGGGCGGGGGGGGGGGGGGGCGGGAGGGGGGGTGTAGTGAGCACATTTTATTTTTGGCCCTCGAAAATTTGCACCCACCCCCCCCCCCCCCCCCCAAAAAAAAATGAAGTTTAAATTCACGTTTGATGATATGTTTTTTATCTAAATTTATTAGGAAAGTGTTCTCTTCCTGAACGTACCCCCCCCCCCCCCCAACAAGGATCGGAACACACAAAATCCTGCGAACTCGTTTATGCGGGTAATGCGTGATAGTCTTATTCAAGCCTCAGAGCAGGTCAGTTTCTGACAAAATGGCAGGACTGGAGCTTCTTTCTGATGAAGGCTTTAGACTAGATGGCCGACGACCATCTGAACTTAGAAAGATTCGTTTGCGTCTTGGAGTTTTCGACCAGGCAGATGGATCAGCATACATTGAACAAGGAAATACAAAGGCATTGGCGACCGTATACGGCCCTCACGAGGTATTTTTTATACTCCAGTCCCGTCTATTCATATTTATGTCATGTGCTATTTATATTGTGATTTGTGTGTTCACTGGCTGCACTGCATGAGTTCAAACAACCTTGTACATGTATAACTTGAGTAATGATTAGTGGTGATGATTAAGATGATGATGATGAAAATGATGAGGATGATGATATTGATGATAATGATAACAGTTGAACACAAAACAACACATTGGAAATCAGTTTGAAAGATTACAGAAAGCTGAAACTGAAAGTACTAGATCTAAGTCAAGACTAAGAGTGTGATGAGTATGGAATTTATCATTTATGTATAGCGTTGTCTTAAAATATTGACATTTGTGGCTTACCTTCTTATACGATAGCATTCATCATTCGCAGGTAATGAACTATAGCTGTGCCTGTGTATTAAATATATTAATGTTTGAACTTATATATTAAAAAAATGATTAAATCAAAGAAAAACATTGACCTATCTCTATCCCATAACTAATAACAGGGCTGTCAACTTTGGGAAACTGCTTGTAGGGAGATTTTTTTTTTTAGTGCCAAATTCAGCCTTCAACCAGCTGCTGAATAAGCGGGAAAAATTCGCAACGACTCAGCCAGCTGCTGAATAAGCGGGGGGTTGGGGTGGGGGTTTCCCGGTACAAGCTTTTGGGAGGGCGGGAGAATAAGCGTGCAGGTGGCGTGAGACTCCCTCCAAGTGCGGGAGGGTTGACAGCCCTGCTAATAATACCAATGCTGACAGGCCTAGCTTTATTTTCTTAATATCCATGTGAGCCATGACATTACCAAGCCAAATGCAAATTCCTTTCTTTTCTTTTCTTTCATTTCTGAAAAGGTCCTTGGAGGAAAAGGTAAACCTCTACATGATAAAGTGATCATCAACTGTCAATACAGCATGGCAACCTTCAGCACGAACGAGAGGAAAAACCGCCCTCAGGGAGACAGGAAATCGACCGAAATGTCACTTCATCTCCAGCGGACATTTGAAGCTACCATACAAACACACCTCTATCCAAGATCTCAGATTGATATCTTTGTACAGGTCAGTCATTTACAAGCTTTGTAGGGTGTGTTTGATAAAAAAAAATATCTGCTTAAATTAGCAGCATTAAAATTTAATAGACCGAGGCATTTTTCACAATTGAAAAAAATGTTCACCATCAATCTTTGTGTAATTAACACCATTTTTTCCCCTCCCTTTTTGTTGATGTCAGTTTTTTTTGTTGATGATTTTTTTTTTTTTTAATGCAGTTGTACCAGTGTCAGCAGAAGGGATATTAATTTACCCTGGAGCTTGGTAGATTCCATATTTCAATAGAAATTTAATTTTAGAAAATATACCACATATAAAAGTGGCGCGTCCCCATTATTTTCAACAGTGGGAGCCTGTCCCTGTTACTTTTACAAGGCTTTTATTTTGACAGGCAGAGATATTGATCTTTTTAAAATAATTTGTTGATGAGTATTGTCAGGAAATGTGACCTTATCATTTTCGTTTCCATTGTCAGATTCTGCAAGCAGATGGAGGAAATTACTGTGCTTGTGTCAACGCTGCTACACTAGCAATCATCAATGCAGGCATCCCTATGAAGGACTACGTGTGCGCTTGCTCCTCTGGCTATGTGAACAATACGCCTCTGACCGATGTGAGTTACCTTGAGGAATCTCAGGGAGGGCCTGTAGTGACCGTAGCCATGCTGCCAAAGTCCGAACAGATCGCTCTCTTTAAGATGGACAACCGGCTCCACGTAGATCACCTTGAGCAGGTGTTGGAGGTAGCCAGTAAAGGATGCAAGGACATGTATGCTGTAATGAATGCAGCCGTCAAGGAGCATGTCAGTAGGATGGCAAAGAGCATGGAATGTAGCTGATGATGATGAAGGACTGCACGATTCAAGATTGATGACATTCCTGGTGCCTTCTGATGTGGATGAATAACTTTCTTTCAGTGGAATGTTCTTATCCATTAGTTGTTTTTTTCCTGCTGGTATAATGGTAACCCTAAAATTCCCATACATTTTTCAAAGTCATTGTTTACCAGGGCCCTGTTGCACAAAAGCTTTGCCATCAACAAACAGTAGTTACCATGGAAACCTTGATTTTGATTGGATTCTTAGCCTTGTTATCATGGTAGTTGCCATTGATGGCAAAGTTACCGTCAATGGTAAGTTTTATGCAACGGGGCGTAGGTGTGCCGCACCACCATCTAGACATCCATCCACATACCTGCCAACCCTTCTGAATAATCCAGAATATTCTGATTTTCTGGATTTTTAGGGCTTAAATTTTTTTTTTTGCTTTGCTTTGCTTTAGCCAAATTAAGCTTATTTTATCATGTGCCGCGATTTGAGAGTTCACGTACTGCATGCGTTGAATGGCTGCATGATCAAGCAGGGAATTTGTATTCGCTTTTTTGTACAGATTTACCATGTATTGCCATGCTACATGGGCGAACGCCTGTTGAGGGTACAGATTTCTTATTTTCAAAGGCATACCGTGCTAGAAATTCCTAATTCGTATTTCAAATGTTGGCAGGCATGCATCCATCACCTTTCTTTGTTTACTACCCATCTTTAACACATCTTCTACCAAAATCATTTGGCAGACAGGATTTTCTTCCTGGTAGTACTGAACATTCAGTAGGATTTACTCCTTGAATCCACTGATCACTATGGTTGCCAGAGCTAAAGCTGACGGTCCTTTGGAAGCTTATAGAGACGTGATATCATAATGGTATATGTGTTATACTAAAACATCATATTATTGTTGTTGTTATTATTCATTCCAAGTGTTGATTCTATGAGAATTTAATTTTGTCAAAACAAAAAAAACAAAAATTCTCAAAACACAGAGATATTTATGGTTTTCTTTGAATGCGGCACTTTGCAACACACTGTAACAGTAAATTCTCCAACCAATTTGCAACACACCCCATTTGAGAGTAATTTTATTGAACACAAGATACATATCTTTGTTGTAAGTTTAATAGAGACCCTATTTTTAAGGTGTTGTATTTTTACTTATTGTTAAAACCTTGAAAATGTAATAAAATAAGGTGTAAAAGCAAGAATCTTTTTCTCTTTGAGTTATGCTTTTGTACAATTACAGGGGAAGTCCAGCCTAATATTTAGTTGGTTTTAATAAAAAAGCAGAAAAATTAGAGAAAGAGATCAGTGAAAGTTTGAGCAAAATCCGATAAAGAATAAGAAAGTTGTGGACTTTTATAATTGTATTCTATCAAACATAAATTGGCAATGATGTGACGTATATTGCGATGTCCAATCACTGTTGCAAGATACATCATTGTTGCCAATTTACGTTTGATTGATTAAAACTTTTAAAAATCCCAACTACCTTGTCTTTTATTGGATTTTGCACAAAATTGTGCTGATCCGTTTCCCAATTTTTTCTGCTTCTATTGAAACTACATGTAACTTCAATTCAGGGTGGACTTTAACTAGGTGTAAAAATGCAATCAACCTCTTTACAAGAGACAGTGAATATGTCTAGAAATGTAATGAAAGACTGAAAGATGCAGGAAAGAGAGCACAAGGGTGGGAAATGTCGAAGGAAAAAAGATGTAATAATGTATGAAAAGTCATATTTTATGAGAACGTTTGTGGTTAAGAGAATTGAGAAGATGGGTATGAGAACATAATATGCGAGGGAGAGAAATTTGACTTTTATCAGAGAATATTTTGGGCGTAAAGACAACTAAGGTAGTCGGGCTAAATGTAGTGGCATGAAAAGAAGTGTCCGGAACGCAAACTGCATATTTGTTGAAAATCATAATTCCATCGCTCAGAGGGATAACCACATTGTAAAAATATGGAGCTGGTAAATGCATTGAACTTACTTCTCAATGAGGCTTACTGTTAACTACACCTTCATTCAGATACACTATATGTAAAAAAAAAGAATTTTTAATTATACAAACATCACTAGTATGCATTTGCGTTACAGATGTGTCATTTTGTGCCACTACATTTCGCTAAGTTACCTAAAAGTTGGTGAAAATACAAACGATGATTACAGGTACCAATCACACAACACACAAGACATTCTTGTACAACTCAAGGAATCGTTTCTATTTTGTTTTTTATTTCACAAATACAACATAACATTATACAGTTATCTTTTACTGTACATTTCTCAAAGAAGGATGAGCATATTTCTTTGATTGTGGAATACCAAATTCACCCCCTCTTCCACCTAATTTCTCCTTCAAAATAGGTTACCTCCTACATTTGTGAATCCCTCTTATCATTTAATTGAGAACCTGCTTTCAAAATAAATTTCTTTGCAATCTTCATTTCATTTGCTTATAATTCACCTGCACACTTTTCGTCTCCAATACAACAGGTTACAGGACAAAACTTCCTACTTTTTTTTCTTTCAAATCATTCTCACATCACTGCGGATATTTTTCTAAAATTTCACTTGTATTACATTTTTTTTCCTCATTTGGCTACTTACATGCCAACTAACAACCTTACTGAGCTTGAAACCAATTTAATTAATGAAAGAAAAAAGTTTTCTTTTAACAAAATAGCCCGTTTACTTGAACAGCCACCATTACACTTGAATAAAGAATGAACAAAGTGTGCAAAACTTTGTTTGAACCCTATAGTATGCAGTTAACATGAAATTCCTTTTCAATGTGCATGCTTTAAACTGTAATGTCCTTTGGAGAAAAAATGTCAAGAGCAGGAAGAATACTTATAAACCCTCGTTTCAAACCATGAGATGAAATAATTACTTTACAACAGTCACAGAAAACCCTTTCATTGTGGGTATATTGTACTAGAATCATATCAAATGTTTATCATCCGCTTCTTTACACTACAAAATCAATTAGTTTATTCACAGAGCTTTCTATTCATACTTTGAACACAATTCCAACTAAACAATGAGCATCCATTTCTTTCAAATATATCCTTTCTGTATGTTCTTTGTAGACGCTTGATAGACAATTCAACCTTTGTCTTTACATCTTCATTCTTGTAAAAATAAAATGAATACCAAGTTATGTGTTTCGCCTTACACATACTACAGTAAAAGAATCACCAAATGATAACTTTACAATTTTGTAAAAATGTCAACTCAAAGGCAGCTCTGTAAATTCTGCCAATCAAGATTCTTTTCTTCTTTGCCTCCAGGAAATCATTCCCACCTGTTCCCCTATAATATATGGGGGTGTTTCACAAAAATCCTAAGTCAAACTTAACTCAAAGTTGGACTTAAAAGTAAGGGAGAGCCATTTGTAGCCTTGAAATAAAATGCATTCAAAAGCAAAAATTGAAGTATTTTAGACTTTTTATAAATTCCACATCAAGAACCTGAAATCTCCTTGATAATATAAAATAAGAATGATTAGTATCAACATTTTATGCCATTTAAAATATCTTTAAAAAATATTTTCATAGATACTAACAGCTATTCATAACTGTTAAGTTCAACTTAGAGCTAAGTTCAACTTAGGATCTTTGTGAAACAACCCCATGGAGGATTTGTAACATCATTTGCCTACAAAACCAAACTCAAAAATCAAGGAAATTTTCGCATAAGTTTACTATAATCATGGTAAAAGATACATCAACCACAAGATGAAGTATCAGTGTCATCTTCCAGAGACAGGAACAATCTGAAAACTCACATGACATCAGAAGATCAATCCTGCAGTAAAATCTGCTTTACACCACCACTAGGAAGACATAGACTAACCATTACAGTAGCTGCAATATAAATACCCAGGACAGCAGCGTTATTACTGCAGACTCCATCAATTGATTCATTGTATCCAGGGCTTTCATTAGTCACTATACGTGGTAAACTCATCGGTAAGTCAGGAAAAACAGGTAATTAACCACATATACGATCTCAAACATTAACTTTTGTGGTTCCTCCAAAAACATAGCTTTTAGCAAGTGACACATCGGGTACATAACCCTGTGATCACTAGGGTATCGGGGCATGTTATACATTATGTTTGAAAAAGTGAAAATGGGCGAGTCGCATTAATGCTAGACAAGTGAGACATTAGAAAAGCTTTCTAGGCAAATCATTTTCTATTATTGTATAAGTGAGCCAAATCATACACCATTTAGTTTTAAACAAACCATACATTTTCCATCCAGAATAAAATAGAAACCTGCTTTTCTGTATTTTCTGTGAAACAAACCTGAAAATTCCCACCAGTTATAGTGACTTGGAACATGGGGAGTTTGCTTGATTACTGCCACTACTTTACATAAAGTCATGTTCTGTATCTTGACTTCTTTCAAGAGAAACTCATATCAAATATAAATTCAGTAGTGAAATAAACAATCAAAGTGGTTAACATTTCATATCGATGTCAACTTGAAAATTCTTCAGTGTAATCTGCAATTGTAAAGATTGGAATTATTTCCCAGCTCTATAGATTGAAATGAACACAACTTACACAAGCCTCATCTGTATCTGTTCTAATGAAAAACAATTTTTTTCCTCCAACATCATCGAGGTTAACACAAGCATGGTAAAGTGAGATCAATAGTTGGGTGGGGGTGAATGGGTTACATCTTTCTAACTACTGTCTCTTCTACCTAACTAAGACTGTCAACAATGCCTTTTTATGTTGACAAGGAAAATAACTGATATCATAACATGTGCATGTTATATCTAATAAATTGCAAGTGCCTTGTGAATTTGTGTAACATTGATAACAGACTGGTTTGACAGCTAAACAACAAAAACAATAACTAGCTGATAGAGCACACCGCGTAATCTGGATTTTTGTTAATACAATAGGACTTCTTGCTTTCATTTCCATGGGAGACGGGAGTGGGAAGATATTTGGTGGAACTTTTAAATCTTCAACAGAGGCACAATCAAAATGCCCCACTCCAGCAAAGCATAGAGAGTCAATGGTAATGCGTATTGACCTCTAGCGCTGCACTACGTGCTAAGAGGCAGCAATTGCACACATAAATAGTCAATACAAACATTGCATACTAATGCTTAAGTTTGACAGTAGACGTACAATTTGAATTTTTAAATTATTCTTTCTAACATCAGTAAGTTGACACAAATTTTATTTTACTGCTATTTAGGTGTCATCAATTGCCACTAAAGTACAGATTTTGAGTGAAATCAGTTGAGTTTTGTACAGTGGTGTTTGAAATGTTGAGAATCAATAGCACAGGTTTTAATACACAGCCAGGATAGTAATGCAGCTATGTGTGCTCATCCCCCACCTCCACATAAGATGTTAACATGCTTGCTAATAAGAGACTCCCATGAGCTTGGTAAATTGAACAATGCATTGTTGTTGTTCAAAGATTTATCACAATTTGGCCATTTCACAAATGTCGGAACACCAAAACTGATTGATCTTTCCTAACACATCAAGACCTTGTTTCAGAAATTAGAATACAACGTGAAGGTTACAACACTAAATCACAAGAAAAGGATCAAATGGGTTTAAAGGAACAACTACGCTAGAAGCTGCAGTATTATAACAATGGACAACTAGAGGGATTAAACATGACAATGACGGTACACAATACTCACATCCTGTATACGCATGCCGCTATTACATTTACAGTGCAAAATGCTCTTCATGCATTTAGGTTTTTTGCTTCATGGCTGCTTTTGATGAGATTCTACAGTATAGCACTTTGCTGATGATCTCCAGCACAAAACTTTTTCAGATGTCATCATGATGGTTATATTCTTTTCCGGCTAAGTGTACATAACATATAGAAGAACGTATCAGTTGTCCTTTTAAATGCTTTGAATAATCAAATTTTTAAAAGTATTTTTTTTCTTCTTCTTCAAATCTTGGTCAATAACACCATCATCTAAACCAAAAATTTGCTTTGAGAAAATTGTAATTGTCTACATGTATTTATTTCTAAGTAGCAGAAAATCAAAACTTTGAAGTGAATTTGAATCTAGAGGAGAATAAAAGTAAAGAATATGCTGTGATCTACATTTGTAGTATCATGACTAATTTGCTGGCAGGTGTACTTTAAATGTGCATTAAATAAAAGTTTTCAGAGAAAGTGTGATTAAAACATCGTATGCAGTGCTGTTAAACATTCACTATTACTGTCACCCCTTCAATGTTCATAATCAAGTGCTTGCTCTCTAAAATAAACGAAATGAATGAGGTTTGACGCATTCTTTTTATCCCAAATTCTTATTTGAATTGATTCTTCCAAAAAATGAGAATGATAGCAATGTATATGAACTAAATAAAAGTGACTTAAGTCCAAATTAAGGCCTGAATTCACAACTTGAATACAGCATAACTTTCTCTGAGAAACTACTCAGTAATTCCTCCGATAATACGTCTACGTGGTGGCTTTGAATTCATATATCTCCTTAATTGGACTGATCAATAAAACAATTCTACTACGATTTCCAGAAATATATTTATCATCATCTGTTTTTCCTTGTATGGGCCAGGCACTATATAGATCCAAAGAATTGATTGGCACTGCTGCTCCTGCCATGCATAGCTTCCTCTATCATGCTCTCGTCAGCGTAGCTCTGCGCTTCCTCTTTTGCCACAAAATGTGAACAAAATTGTCCTTTGTACAAAAAGAAAAGTGCTCATTTGGTCTGCCTTTTCTCTACGATCCTTCTGCAACTTTGATATCTTCCTTCTGACTGCTTTCCTGCAAAGGATGAGGACAGAAATAAAGGATCATGAAAGACCCGTCTGTTGAGGGTGGGATGCATGTTTTGAGCTACTGTCAACACGAAGGGGGCTGCAGTGAACCCCAAATTTCAATCTAGAGTACAGATCTCAAGAGCGCCATGTATTTTAATCTCAATCCCCAAGATCCAAAAGCACATGTATGTAAGGCTCCGAGATAGGGTGTATGAAATTAAAGTATTAACGGGTCAACTACACTATTATGATGAAGTCATTACTATATTACAAGACTGCAAAAAAGAAGAACATGGAAAAGACAAGCAGTATCATAACTTATGATATATCATTGATCTTTAATATCAATCCCACATTAACTGCATTTAATGAAATTTCAAGTTCAATACAGGGCCGTCACACAACAAAACTATCAAAGGAGGGCTTTATATGATTCATCTGCTGGCACTTACTGTAGTGCCTTTCGTGATGCCTCCTTCCTCTCTCCTACGGTTATCATCCCCACGGTCCCTACGCTGGGTGCATCTCCTCGCCCCCAGTCCTGGTTGCGATTCCTCCTGTTATTCCATGCAGTACCCCCTCCTGATCCGCCTCCTCCTCCTCCACTGCCGCCTCTTTGGTAGTTGTTGCGGCCTCTGTAGCCACCGCCACTCCTGTTGTATCCGCCCTGGTAGTTGTTGTAGCCACCCCTGTTGTAACCACCTCGATAGTATCCACCTCTGCCACGACCACGGCCTCTGGAGAACGGCACTCCAAACGTTTCCGTGTTCATCTTGTACTCTTCACGGCGGCTGGGACGAGTTCGATTTCCACTGTTAATATATATTGTAATGACACGTTTAAAAACACTAAGCAATAGATTCCCAGTAGTAGTAGCGAATACCTTTTTTCCAACTTGAATAAACTCTTCTTTCAACCTAGTATTTGTTTGAGCAGATCAGTCTATTATGTTGGGTTTACTACTTTACAATCTCATCACAACATGACATACATAATAATGACTTCAAAACAACCACATATACAACACCATATGTGCCTAAATGAGATACCTGGTTATTGATTCAGCTAAAATCACATACATTGAAAAACATTTAGACAGATTGGCAGATGTAGGACTTTGTTTTTCTAATGACTACTAGCTTGATTTCCTGTCTCCTTTCCTCATTTTTCATCTGGCATTAATTTCTGACAATTCAATTTGGCAGATTCAATTTATTTTCAGCCTTCAAATTTCAAGGTAAACTTGTATGCTGTGAGAATTTCATTTCATTTTTCTTTTCTTGTCATGACAGGTACCAAATACTTTTGTTATACAGTTAAGAAATGAAGACTTACTCTGTGTTTGTTGATTCACATGAGATGCTGTCGAAGAAAGATTTCTCTGGTTCATAGAATGCCTCTTCATTCGGATCGGTGGTGTCTCACTCCCTGACCCATCGTGTTCATTTTCATGTTCACTCGATTTCTCATCACCATTAACTGAGGAGTAAAAAAGGTCAGCCATTATACTTTACAATCATGATAACATTGAACAGAAAAATAATTGTCATGTCCAGAATGTGACCCCAATTACAATCAAAACCATCATTGTTTTCAAACAATTTGAAAAACATCATCTTTGAGAAGAAAAAAACATTCTAATATAACTGATCCTGTATCTCTTAATCATATTTAGGGTCAGACTGAAATTCAATGAGTTCATCCAACATAAAGTCTCAAATTGAATGAAATCATATCAACACAAGTGGAATTGACAGTGGAAAGGGGAACAAATTTTGCTTGGTTAGTGGCTGATACTATGCAACATTCTCAAGGATAGAACAAATGATGAATTACTTTACATGATAGAAATACAATATTGTAAAAAAGGCAGCTTGAGATGACTGGTTATGTGTTTGGGGAAATGGGTCCATCCAGAAAGTTGGGGCACTTTTTGTGACATACCAGAAGTGAGAAACTTTGTCTCACATCAAGTGTAACATTGTTTGCTCAAATTGAGTTTTGCATAAAAAGCATAGCCAACTATCTTCAGAAGTACTCAAGCTTCATGATTAATTAATATTATGGACCCAAAGTTTATGTCATGTTACATGAAAATGGTGTCCATGTAACGCTGGTAAAAAGATAAATGTGTATTAAATGCAAAGATTTTGAAGAAAAGCAACTGAAACAGGAACGATTCTGGAAGGGCACTACTATATATTCATTGCATAAAAATCTTCAACAGATAATTTCATCTCCCCATGTAAAGTAGGAGATCTCATACCTACGTTACATGGACACTGTTATATTTTTTGCCCAACTTTATGGAATGACCCAAATGACAATGACTGGGTAAGTAGAATGATGAAATGGGGATAAGGGAACATACAACAGGCATAATACTGCAGACACAGGGTTGTGGGAGGTAAAAGATACAGCATGTTGAAAATGGAGAGATGCAGTCAATTTGACAATAGGGACTTTTAGATTTGCACGAAGACAATGTGAACTGCTACGATCGACGTCTTTTTAATGCACTGCCTTGAATGGACGTCACACGTATCAGTCCACGCAAATCTAAAAGTCCCTATTATAAAATATGGAGGCCCCCAAGAGCAGCATCACTACAACAAACAAACAATGCCACACACTACTTTCACAACAACAAATGTTTTTGTAATCTTTGTTATTGTCAAAAAAGTTATACTCAAATTTGTTGAGAGCTCTTACCGATCTTCAGCTTGCTTTCAAATTGATCCTCAATGGAATCCTTATCATACTGAGCGTTGGCTGTGTCAAAGTCAAAGTCCGTTCCAACCTTGATAGGATCTTTAGCAATCTGTGGGCGTTGACCACGACCACGCCCCCCTCGACCCCTCCTGTAAGGTTGCTGCTGTTGCTGTTGCTGTTGGTGTTGCTGCTGACCCTGTTGATCTGAAAAAAGGATCAGGTTTTTTTTTAGTTTTTTTTTACCAGTAACCAATAAAATTGCGTTACAATTTCTTGGGGAAAGACCAAAATATATTTGACCCCATCATAATAATGTACTTATTTGATAACAAAGTTACAAAAAAGAGCGTTTATTACCAACCATTTCATATTTTACACATATTTACAACAACAAATTGAATGAAAAAGAGAATGAGAATTCAAAGCATCAATGACAAGCTAATTTCCTTAACTGATCTGATTGCAGTTGGACCACTACTGACATACATTGTTACTAAATTGATGATACAGCTCGTTGCAAAATTTAAGTATTGCAAAATGAATCTCTTTTACAAACCAATTTCATTTATAGTACCATATGAAAATATTGAGATATATCTAATCATGAAGCCTTGGCTCATTAAGCAGTCTGGGATTCAAAGGCATTTCTTGGCTTAGAAATGACCAAGCACTGAATAACAAATCTGCTAAATTTCGTGCAATGACAAAATCTTGAAGAATTTGATTCTTACTGTCTGGTCTGCGGCCTTGATCCCTAGGTCGTTGATCATTCCTTCTCCTATTCCCGTCTCTATCATAGTCCCTGTTCTGATTGTCACGGTAGCGATCCTGATTATCTCTATTGCGACCATCCTCCCTCACATCTCGGTAGTCCCTGGTGTTACTCCTGCGCTGCTCTTCGCGTGATCCTCGCCGGATCCTCTGCGGCTGGGCCTCCTGATCACGATGATCATGCTTGTCGTGGTCTTTCCTTCCCTTTCCACTGCCCTCGTGCTTGTCCTTGTCAGGCGACTGTGGACCAGAGGCTTGGACTGCCTGCTCCATGGTGGGTGACTTGCGGTTGGGTGGAGGGGTCTGCCCGTTAACTTCTTACCAAAAGTGTTCAATGAGAAAATCAGAACAAACCTTCATTAGACACAACATCGCTTTTAAATTTGTGAATCCTTAAGACAGCAATCACATTTGCAAAATACTTTTTTATTTATAGTCTCAGCAAACAAAATAAACATCTATTTTCTGCATATATTGATAAAGATGCCGACCAGTAAGAAAAGAAGAAATTACCCATTTTAACATGATTTGTCACAGGGATCAAATTTAAGGCTGAATTTGAGTTGAGAATGATGCACGATTTATCCTAAATTGAAGGAAATGAAAACCATCCTTCGTCTTTCTGTCACATGTACCAGAACATTTTGAAATTGAAAATCTACCTTTGATAATGCTGTGTTCATATGTAGACAAATATGTTTATGGAGATGCCAGTCATAAAAAACTCTGAGGTATCTGATATCTGAACTTCACTCCATTTCCAAATATGCATTTGTTCTTTTTCATGATATACACCACCCAAAACCAAACAATTGTGTTGCAGCTTAATCAATCTTTAAGTAAAATTGAATAGTTTTCAATGTAATATTCTCTGCTCCCGCTCAGGTCTCTATGCTATTATTATTGTTAAAGATTTGTACGTTCACTGGGCTTGATTCACCTCCTATTTGAGGGCGTTGAACCTGGCCTGCTCCAAACTGATTGGGCATCATACCTCCGATAGCACCATACTGGTAGGGGAGCTGATTGAACGGGGCAAAGGGGGCCGGAGCCGTTGCAAAGGTGTTTGGTGGGCGGAAGCTTGGGGTGGTGGTAGTGCTCACTGCTCCAGAGTGCTAGGTAGAATAGGATGACAAATTAACAAGACATAAATCATTTGCCAAAACATGTCTTGAAACTTCTGCATTGTTACTAAGGCCTAAAGTTTCTTAACTTTTCATTCAAAGGGATAACCTGGTAAAGACGAATCATAAAGCCCCTCTAAAGTGTTGGGAGGCCCACAAATTTGATGGCAAAATTTCAATTAAATTGTTTCATGCGGAAGAGGATGTCATTTAAGACACATTTCAGATTTTTCGATATTTTTAAAAATAATTTTCTCAGACCTGCTAAGCTTCACCCTAAAAAAGTGTTCATGATCTCATTCATCTTGTGACATCATCTGTCAATCGAGTGAGATGACAAGAGACAGTGGTATGTAGCTTCACCGTAGCATCACCAGGCAAAATTTCAAAAAATATCTACTACTACAAAAATATTACTAAATGATTACCATAACCAACTCACTTGCAGAATGGCTGGATCCTGGGCGATAGAGGTTGACTGTGGAGCTTTAGGAGCTTCACACACCATCAGGTCTTTGATGTCAGAAGCCCTAAACACAATGTAGTCATACATCTCATCTCGCTGAGCAACAGGATGATCACATGGCCTGTCCTCTGTTCCAAAGGAACGTACTGCAGAGTAGGAAGAAACATGGCATGGGTCAACATGGTAATGGCATGATTATCACATCCTCCTAACAGAGTTGAAATTACAATTCATCACTTTATAAATATCATATTACATGTCATTTCCTCATTACTTAACTTTACCGCATGGTGGCATGAAGTACACATTTCATCTGAAATTTTATCCCACGCATTAATACAATTTTGGTAATGTACCGGTAATCAAATTCAATGCACAAATCTTATTTTAAGTGCCTCATTAGACATTACAAATTATTTCATTCGCCATAGATAACAAAATTGTATTTCAATAGTCAAAATGTGAATTGCATACATTCCGTGCTGTTAGATGACAAGCCATAATGTTTGTTGCATCTAGCAACAATTAATGTACAGTATATTACATACAACACCGAGCCCGTAAGGCTAGCATTTGTCAGGCATGCATGCCATGGTGGGTTTAAGACCTAGGCGTCCTCAATGAGAGCCTATGATGGGGGATCAGGAGCTTTTCGGCAGCTATAATGACATTCAATTCGGTGGCTAATGCTAATTAATTTTCTCTAACATCTTGGTTCTTTATATTCTAAAGCTAAATTGTTCAGAAAATTATGATGAACAAATGGCAATAATGCGCATTTACAGCTCATTATAGATGCGCATGCCTATTTTGGTTGACAAATTGAAAAGGTCCTAAAGCTTTGCACATGTAGTCCATCTTGGCAATTTGGCAATGCGAAAAACGGGATTCTGTTCAGCCTCCACTTTGGGTTGTCAGATCTTCCGAGGATTTAGAGGATTTAGAATACGTAAGCTGTGCCTGGGATCCATACAGGATAGGGCAAATTAATAAACTGGACGCAGTTCAAAGGAGGGCAGCACGCATTGTAACAGGAAACTACCAAAGGGAATACAGTGTCACACAAATGCAGACCTGCCTTGAATGGGAAACACTTGAATGTAGGAGGGAAAAAAGTTGTTTAGTTTTGCTGTACCATATCAACAAGGGAAAGGTTAAGACGAAACCACCAACACTCAATAAAAATCCCCTTTGCCAGAAAGGACGTATATAAATTTTCCCAAGAATTGGACGAGCATGGAACGCCCTCGACCAGCAGCCTGTAATAGCCACATCTGTTGATAACTTTAGAAACACACTTTAGCACGCATCACCTGCCATACAAGTTAGCAACATGCGGAATACCGCCCTGCTGACTCCAAATTCAGAAGTTTCAGAAGGATTTATCACTCAAAACGTGAAAGACTCTGTTCAAAGTCAATGTGAAATGCATCATTGCGTACTAATGTTTCGTTTTTAAACGAAACAGGTGCCAATGATTGAAGGAGACGACTTGACAAGCAGATGCAGATGCAATGCTTTTACTTCTCACTATTTTTCAGTTTTAATCAAACCCACCTTCAATTTCATGCCCATAAGCCAAGGCATATCTAACAGCTATGGGTTCAGCCTCCAAAAACGTCAATGAGAAAAAAACATCCGTCACTCTCGACAGGTCTCAATTACTTACCCAGCCCTAATCACTAAATCAGTAGGGGCGCTGGTCCTAGAATAGGTCCAAGGATCGTCCACATAGAATCTAGAAATCTAAACGAGGATTGCTTCATAAACGCGGACAGACACGTCAGCAAAAATAAGGATTGTCCGCATTTTCGCAGACGTTTCATAGATCTATTACTGAACCACGCATTAGCGAGGAGTAAAAAAACAGATTCAGCAATGATTTTCTTGATGCATTTTAACATTGACTTTTTACAGTCTTTCACGTTACGAGCGATAAATCCTCTGGAAAACAGACAACCCATAAAAAAAGGTCGACAGTGAACTGGGGTTATTTTCTTGCGCAGGTTCTGTTTTTTCGCATCGCCAGCGCGTCATTCGGGAACCTGAAACCTGCAGATGAAAAACGATCCATTTTTTTTAGGACGCAATTTGTCCGTGATTACAAAGATATCCTCATTCTCGGACCAGCGCCCCTATCGCTGATTGGGCCTGGCCTGGGTTTGTGCTTGGCTGCGCTTGTGCCACTTTCAATCATGTTTGCATGCCTCTTTTTTGCCAATTTTGGGTTCATCATGAAAAATTGAATGAAAGTTGCCATGGAAATTCATGAACTAGTTGGCGAGCCAGGAACTTTGCAAAATGTAGCCTCTAAGCATTAGAATGATAATTGCAATGCAAGGGTTACCAGTTTATTGGGTTTCTTTTTTTTAACACAGACTCTTTTTCGTTGTTGTTCACGGCTAGACCCGTACATCCTTTATTAGTGAATGTAGATTGCCTACTCACCTTTCGACAATGTCACCGTCGAATCGGCAGTATCAACCGAGAATAAATGGCCTTCATATCGAATTCCAGCATTCGATACGAGACTTATCTTACTCCCATAATATGATACTCCTCCACTCATCTTTAAAATTATGATAGACTAATAAAGAGAAAGGATGCCTCCGGATTCTGGATGAACTTCGTATTTGGAAAAAGGTAAGTGTTTCCCAATATTGACGCGATAACCTTTGACATCTTCTTTTTTGGACAATAGATGGCGCCAAATTTTCACCCGGCCGATTTAACATTATTTTAACAGCGTCAGTTAGCTTCTTTTTTTTCTTCTTTGGCTTTCTTTCATTCTTTCACTTGTCAATTTTCCTTTCTTTTATGACCGGTTGTTTCCCGTTATCTTTCCACGGTTGCCGTGTGCACATGCCCGGGCGGAACTTGGAGGGGCGCATAAAGCGTAAAAAGAAAGGGGCGCTTATATTATTTAATTTCGAGAGAAAGAAAAGGGAGAGAAGGGAAAAATATTATTGTATTAACGAATAATACCCCCCCCCCCTATGCCCAGGGCAAATGACACTACATTATGAGGGTTTAAAATGTAGAAATTAAGCTCAGTCGCTTCTCTCTCACGCGTAATTGATTCTGTATTTTGTAATTCAATTAAATGCGATCCAAAAATAAGAAATTAGATATAGAAACAGTTTATCAGTGTGCACATTTTGAATTTTTTTCCGCTCGACTGCACGAAGAGCTCCTTTGCAAAATTTCCTGAGTAAAATACAAGAAATACAGGCACAAATCTGACGCTAGGTCCCCTCGCTCCCTCACTTTGAACGTAAACAAATTTAGCCGGGGGGGGGGGGGGGGGTGGAATTGCATTGCCATTGAGTGTAGCTATTCTGGAAATATATAAGCTGATTTTTCAAAAGATATACGTTTGAATTGAATGGAATTTCTATATCGTCATGCATAAATAAAAGGAAGGCATACAAATAACATTTGTATACAATATAACAACATTAAAATATCATTCAAAAATAATTACAAATAACATAGATAACGTAAGTACGTAACAATGAAATATAATTCAATCTCTCTGTTGAGAGCCAGAGGAATGCCAACCCGTATTATTTTGTACTCCCTTGGCTCCCATCAGACAATACTTACTTAAATATATTCTAGAAAATGTCATGACAACAATCACAATATGAAACGAACAATTCACAGCCAAGATCTAAAATCAATTATTTATCTTTTTTTTTTTAAATTCAGATAAAAACTGTATAATATGTTCGCAGGTATAGACTAACCGTACATCATACTGTATGTCAAAGAGGAGAGACAAGAAAAGAAAGAGAGAGAGAGAGAGAGAGAGAGAAAGAGAGAAAGGAATGACTGCGCGCAATCCGGGGGGGGGGGGGTACTCAGATTTAGTTTGGACGGTGGTGTGCCGCTCAAGCCTCGAAACCCCTACCTATTTTTAAGGGTCATTTGGGGGATTTTTCTCGAAGTAAGGCCCCTTTTTCACAACTTTCGGGTGCCATGCAAACAGCCATGCAAACACCCCAAAACAGAATTGAAATGTTGAAAAAAACGGACCTATTTTTAATGGCATTTTTGTGTGAAAAGGTATTAGAGCGGCACACCTCCATATTATGTCTTAATAATTGAGTACTACTCCCCCCCCCCCCCCCCCACCCCCCCCCCACCCATCCCTGGGCGCGCAACGGTTTGAACGATGAATTAACAAAAGAAAATATAATTGTATTTTCTAATTTATTCTTGACCTACATGACTCTTCATAAATCTATTACTTAGAATTATTTCTTCCTCCCTCCATACCCTCAAAAACTCAATATATTACCCCCCCCCTCCCCCCCCCCCCCCCATTCGCTCTCTCTTCTCTCCCTCTCTCTCTTTATTTCTCTCTATCTTTCTCTCCCCTCTCTCTTTCGTTCTGTTTTTCCTCTTTCTTTCTCTCTCTTTCTCTCCCTCTCTCTCTCTTTCGTACTCTCTCTCTCTCTCTCTCTTTATATATATATCCCTCTCTCGCTCTCTCTCTGTCTCTCCCTCTCTCACTCCCTTTGTCTCTCCTCCCCCCCCCCCCCCCCCCCCCCTCTCTCTCTCTCTCTCTCTCTCTCTCTCTACCCGACGTCATCAACGTCTGCTTTGAAAGCAGCAATCGTCCCAACGTGATATCGGATGAACATGGCGGCCCAGCTGAAAATGATTGCTATGTCATGGATTCGATTCGGATTTCATTCGACTCAAGTCGTCCTCAGACATTTCCAGGTTACGTTTCTCGTTAACAAAATGAAGAAATCCCACTTTATTCAGGTCAATGAATTTGAGTAACGTCACGAGTTGCATTGTGTTAGCGAAACTGGGTATACTTTCTAGACGCTAGTGCAGGTTGCAGCCTATAGTATAGTCAATAATTCAGGTTGTATTCATTTTAAATGATTTAATCATAAGTATGAACATTTTCTTTTCCACTTCAGAAGAATTACTGTTCACCTTAGTGAGGTAGAGGTGTCGTGGTCTGATTTTAATCACTCATGCGTGAAATATGCATCATTATGAGTTGCATCAAAATATGAAAGAGGGGTAATATTATGTGTCATTTATTAATTATAATGGTGGTTAAATTATGATAAAACATCGATAAATTCTCGGTTTCGTTTTTTCTGGGACGCACGTATATGTTCAATAACATCGGTCATGTATAAAAGTACCGACCCGTATAAAAGGACTAATGATTCGCTGCGTAACGATCAATCAATACAGGACGACCATCTATTATGTAAAGCCTCGGTCACAAATACCCTTACGGGCTGCTACGAACGCCGTACGAACGATTTTCAGACCATTTCGTAAGATCTTATTAAGAAGGCCGTACGAAACCAGCGTTCGTAGACCGCTCGTAGACCGTTCGTAAGATCGCAGATTGGTCGATGGTCTTGTCCAAGATTTTTTGTTAACATCGTACGAAACCCTTTCTTCGTAAGGCGGCCGTACGAACGCCGTAATTACATCGTAAGAACCACGCAAGATCTTTGTACATTTCGTAGGGTCGAGGGACAATTCTAGAAGCTTCAAATTATTACGATGACCGTAAGAACGCCTCAAGTTGTTCATAGAGAGCTCTTACGGCGTTCGTAAGAACGCATAACGATCGGAGATCCTTATGGCCTTCGTATGAACGACTCCTGGCGTTCGTAAGGCGTTCGTAAGATGCTCGTAAGGTGTACGTACAGAATGTATGCAATTTTTGAGTTTTAGCGGTTATAACGCCAACCGCCAAGCACGCCACCCCTCCCACTCCCACCTCCCGTATGTAATAAAATACCTATAACCCTTGAGCTTCCGGGGCTCTGCCCCCTGGACCCAACCAAGGCCCTAAGGCTGGCCCCTGGATGCTCATCTGACCGTAGTTAAATATCTTAAATCTCTGAGCTTCCGGGGGCTCTGCCCCCTGGACTCCCGCCAGTGTCACAAATAAGGTATCTGAATATGCCTATATGACCGTAATGTAATGCAGATTTTCTTCTGCTCCCCCCCCCCCCCCCCTTCCAAACGTTTTTGCTCATTACGCCATTGCCCCTGGAAGGTGAGCCCCCTTTAATGTTTGCCCCCCCCCCCCCCCCACCCCCAATCCCAAACTGCTTCCAGTGCGCCCGTGCATAGTGTTCGTCGAGGGTGCATCTCCTGTCGAAGAAATATATGACCAAAGGGGAAATCTGTTAGAGGGAAGAGAGGGAAGAGAACAAACTTAAGGAATGAGGTGAGGAGGAAGGAGAAGAGGAGGAAAGCAGCAACAACAATATCAAGAATGATGGTCATCGGAAGCGACCGGGAAGAGGCGGTGGAAGATGACGACGACGAGGAGGAGGGAGAACCATCAAGACGGCAGTTTGATAGCGATGAAGATGAGGTAACAGGGAAACTAAGAAAAGAGGAGTATGACTTTGATGCCACCACAGAGCAAAAGATGTTTGACTTCTTCGGTGTACATGACTGCTTTTATAATAAAGGAAGTAAAAGATATGCTAACAGTAAGTTCAAGAAAACTTCATGGAGTTGCAGTTGCAGTTGTAGTTTTTCTGGGCAATACTGCCATCGTAAAATATCAAAGTTTCAACAGTCATAGAATTTTCGACAGTATACGGCAGCGCTTCTTTTGCAACCCGACCAAATATTTAAAGAAATCGTAAATTCTTCTTACGAATGACTTGTGAATGCCGTGAGTTACACGTACGACCACCTTGCGAGAATATAGACTCGTAAGATTGGCGTAAGTCTGACGTAAGAAGAACTCAAGGCGTTCTTACGAAAAACATACGAACTCTGGGGCCATTGTATAACCGAAAATAAATACGTTTCTCAAGAAGATCTTGCGTTGTTCTTGCGAATTAAACGGCGTTCGTACGAACTCCGTAAGAAGGACGTAAGAAACTATGCCCCTTCTACGAATCTCTACGAACTCTGAAATTCGTAGGAAAAGGGAGATTCGTACGAACGCATGGTTCGTACGAACATTTGTGACCGTAGCATTAGGTATGGCATCCAACACACCCTTTACCTTGTTCCTGCCAACAAAATGCCGGAAGACCGTCCTTATTTTGTGAGATATGCAACATACCGTCGCTGTTTTCACGAAGTGACGGTAGTGAAAAAAAATTGCATTCACTTTGCGTTACGATTTTCCTCACTACCGTCACTTCGTGAACAAGAACGCCAAGTAGAAAGGAATTTTCACCATCAGACTGGGGAATCGTCTCACTTGATCATTAGGCTCCATCGCTTGATTAACAATCATTAAGCAGTAATGTATGGGTATCATCAAAATAGATCCCAACCCCTAACGAATGGTGATAGGGGTGAGAGCCTCAAGGAAAAGGAAGAGAGAAGATGAAAATCATGAGAAAGAAAATGATATGACACCTACCCGCACAAAACCACTGAACCGGTGGCCTAGTTACCGAGAGCAAGAGCAGTGCCCCCCCCCTCCCCCATCACAAGGTCTGGACCCATGATGCGCCACTACTTTCCCCCTCTCTGGGAAATCGTCTCGAAACGTTCGTCCAAGATCAATGTAAGTTATTCGTTAATATTGCTTATTAAATAACGTCACAATTTTTTACTTTGATGTCTACAGGACCTAATGAAATGCATCATTATCTATATCACCCTCTTTACAAAATGGCAGACTGGTTTTAACTTTCATTTAAAGCCTATCTGCACTAGTTTGGC